CGCAATAACTATATCACGAAAGAGCGAGATCCAGAAACGCTTACTCGACTGTGTCTGTTTATTAGCTGTTGACTAATATTTCTCTATTTTGAATGGTACTCGAGTGATTGTCGGCAAACACCTATTTTGTGTGAGTTCATGGCGCTGAACGCACAGCGATGACGGCTGTTCGAGTGACCGATGCGGTCTGACAGGGTAAACGGTACACAGAAAGAGCGAGACGAATACGTAACGAACAGCTTCGCTGGATCAGCAATTTTATCGGGAAAAGATGAACGAGCGCAAAAACGGAGCGCGGAAACGATCGCAATCAGCGGTACCTATCGTACTTTCGAGGCTTGGCTTTTGTCCCGCTAGAAATACGAGAACTGCTTAAACGTTTCTCTAAGTTAAAGAAACTTTGTGCTGAAGGGAGAGTGATGCTTCGGGTTAATGTAGTTTAGTTATAGTAGAAAGTACTTGTCTAAATATTATAAAAAAAAATTGACAGACTTTGGCTGAAAATTGAAAGTGAGTCTACGAACAGTGCCGAATAAAGTATATTACAAGTGGACTTCATATTTAGAATTTTCTGAGAAGGTTTTGATGGGCTAATGTAGAAACTCATTTGTACAAAGTATGTCAAATAGGAAAGGATAGACTCTCAGTAAGATTTGTATTAGAAATATCTAGTGTAGATTATTCTTAAGTAATTCGAGCAATAATAGATGAGTTAGAAAAACTTGTGAACATCAATTTTGCCTCTTTTAAGTATAAGAAAATTGGTTATATTTTTAAATTCTTTTTACTTTTTTTTTACAATTTACCTTTATAAAATTATGCGCTAAAATTATTAGTTTAACTATTTTTATATAAAGCTTTTTTTTTCGCGAAACGCGTAATCATTTCAGCTCCAACAGTCAATGCTGTCATATTACGATATGCGATATCTGTGGTAGCTACCACTGGAACTGGGATCATTAGCGATATTTAGAAAAATATTTTCGACGATATGAAACTTATGATAAAGTTTCATTTGTTTTAATCCAAATATTCATAGACTGTCAACAAATGTTTCGCGACTTCGTTAGACTTATAGATGTCAGTGCAGCTTAAATAATATTATCCCCTAATACGTATGCATTAAATAGTCTCTAAAAAGAATACTGATACACTTATACATACATAAAACGACAGGCACAAATTAGGACTGAAAAACAACTTCGTGTTTAGCGACCTATAATCACTGCAGTGAAGGTCTTTGCTAACGTCATCTGTTTTCCCTGACAATAGGTCAAAAAACTAGTTTTACAAGAACGACTTCGGTCAATACGTATTTTGTTCTAGTGTACGGACCTCACCTGCATTGCCGAATCAAAATCTCGCCTTTTTATTATAAAAAGAAACTTCAATGGTGCTCAACAATGCTGAGAATAAACTTAAGGGAGCTATTATTGAGATTAGCCTTTTAGAGTCGGGCAAAAATAAACACATTTCGATTTTATTTAACAACTTTTCATAAAACAATAGCAAATTTTCTCTACGTTGAGCATATTTATTCTTTTTTTCATAAGACATTTGGGCAAACGACTGTGATGAACACGAACTCATTTGGTATTTGGTAGAAACGGAGACCGTTGGCAACAGTGGGTTTCTAGAAGTGCGTTTTAAACAGAAGAAGAAAAGAAATTCCTGATGGGTCATCTTTTGATTCAGTTTCGGTCATCTCTTGGCAGACGATCGTCAGAGAGGACGTGTTTAAGGATATATGTTAACGTCATTGAGTTAGTTAATATATAACTGCAACTATAATTAGTAAGGCAGAGATTTACCCATCCCTTTGACCAAAGAGCTACCATAACGACAGGACACTTTGGTACGAAGAGTTTATCGAGCGGTTTATCTATTGAAGTAGATATATGCTCAAGATATATAGGGTCTTGCGTTACTGAATTTATTCGGGATGTCATAAACTCAGCAGAAATCTACATACACAATAAATTATAAGTGACAGTTATTCAGGTGGGGGCTCCTGTAGCCGCAAAACTAACGAAGCTCGTTGTGCCCATACGGTGGTGCACATTGTGCATAACTACAATATACAATGAGAATGTATAATGCATGCGTTACCTTAACCTCGAAACGCCGACGGCAGAAGAGCAGATATCTACAACCCTCAAGGCGAATGCTTGTAGCTTTTAAATTTTTTAACTATTTTCAGTAGTGGTATATAGAAATAAAGCAAATACAAAAGACCTCAGATGTATCGTCAAGTAGCTTCCATGAAGAATTTCAGTAGTTTTAACCGAATTCTGTATTAGTTTCTTTCCCAGATTCATAGCGTACGCAATTCAGGCAGTACAAACGCTATTTTTCGACCAAATTTTTTTATAGCGCTCTCCTTTTGATAAACAATATGCGCATTCCCCAATTATTCTTTCTAATACTGTCTTAATATAATCAAATTTCAGGAGAGCCTGACCTTTTTGAATTTAATGAAAAATAAATATATTAACGGTTACATTCAACGACATAAACGTACTCCCTGCAATCATGATTTTATCGTTTACCGTTAACGAGATACCCAACCTTTGTGCTACCAAACAAGGCTCTATCTTCGCTTACAATGAAAATGCTTCTTGTCCTCATGACAACATACATTTAACTGCTACGTTTCATTTTGCGAATGGTTGATTATTATTTACATCCAACGGGGCAGGAAATCGTCCATTTCCCATCGGGTGCTTCCTTACAGCCTACAGCTGCGCAGTTGGCCTCTTCTGTAGTCTTTTCATTTTGAAGCACCGCTGGTTCCACTACTGGGAAAATATAAATACTTCTAGGCAATCGTGCTGAGGCCGAAGTCTACATAACACTTTCGCTAGAACTTCGCCGCTTGCCTTGTACTAGGGTAGAGAAAACGGAGAATTATTGCAATGCCTACCAGGTCCACCGCTGATCCATCTGCTCCTGGTATCTGACGATAACCGTGAATACCCTTCTTACTACATTGATCGTGCAGCTGATTACGTCACCTAGAAGCTGGCGAGTACCATATTGATCCGCGGTTTACTTGTCATTTCTTTCGCTTCTATTTGTATATATGCTAGGTACCTTGTCGATAGACTGTTGGACGATCGAGATGTTTCAGAATCCTTTAATTCGCCCCGAACATCTCCCATATTTACTTTACTCTTTCTCCGTAAAGATCTGCTGGTGAATCACCGATCGCCATTTGACAGGAGGGGATAGATGTCAGCGTTGAGCCAAACAGTATACACGGCAAATAGTAACTTGGCCTGATTTGTGTCTGCAGCTGCCACGGCCGTCCTATGTAAGAATTAGTTCAGAAAACAAACACCATCTCGCTGTCAAGATTATTGACGACACAGCCTTCTACAGTGGACACGCGCATATTGCCGGTACGGGGCGAGAAAATTATTTCATGTAGCTGTGGCTGTTCAACCAGCCATTTGGATGTAGTCGGTTACCTTGCCTGAATTGAGCAAGCTACTCATTATATTGGCACAGTTTTTTCGGAGCGATGGCGAATCCTTCTTATTCCGCCCCCTCGGCAAATATGGCACGGCAGAAAACAAGGGCTTTGTATGCCATATCAAGCATGATATTATCATGTTCCATGATAGTCCCTGGCAGCATTAGGTATTGTCTTCGATGCTTTCGAAGGAACGCGCCGTCCTGTGCAGAAGCTTTTCCTCCGGAGACAAATCATTTTGATGCTTGCGTTGCAGGTGTTCCATTATTATACGAACGAACTGCTTGTGTTTGTGTTGTCAATGCAACCGTCTTTTTCATCGCCTCATAAAAATCGTAGTTCTATACAAAGGGACACTAATGGCGGTAGTCTGAACGAGGGTGGTCGGAGACAAGTGTTATAATGAGATCTGATAATGACATGATTGCGGAAAGGATTCGAGACAGAAAATTTCAAAATGAAACAAGATCTCGTATTAGTAAAAGGAATCCGATGCTAACGGAATGGGCCATTTATAATAGATGGTCAACAAATTACCGTAGAGTCGGATATGCTGATTTGGAAGTCATGTTTATTTTTTGCGACATCGACTTCTATTCGTTGTAGTAGATCTTCCAAGAATCGCAGCTAAATATTTATCTTTTCTTAGTTTTCCAGTTTCGTTATGAAATATGCTTGTGATGCGCTCAATGTTACAAACCTGCTTAGTATTGTCCTGCTCACTGCACTTAAATATATACTTAAATTTCTTATAAATTCTGAATATAATACTCTCTGTATGGGGTTCCTCTGTGCATCGTTTCATTTGGATTTTTATTAGGCCAAATTGAATTAAATTTCACAAAGTAAAGACAATTGATCGTAGCACGAAGTATTTTCTTATTGCTTATTTGCAACATGAACATAAACATTTGGTTCCCTGCGATAGTCTGAATACCAAGCATTCACGAATCTACTTAGATATCAATTATTCGGGCGACCTTGCCATTTTTATTTTTGGCGTATATCAAAAACAGCCCTACTCTCACAAATGAAACCTGTAACCATTATTATTTAAGGTATATAGCTAATCATCAGTTTTTAGCTCACCTGTAGTTTGCTACGATAAGGTTTTTGGGATCACCAACGCCAAAAATAATCGATATTTATGGTCTATCATTGTTATAACTTGACTTTTACACAGCACAAAACAGTTTCCATGTTGATTCTATTTTTGCCCCATTGGTATGTATTCAACTCGTCTCATACGAAGTAAATTCATATGGGGGGTTGTCGGTAAGATCCAGTTGGAGAAATGAAGCTTCACCAATCTAGAATTTGATTACTCTTATATGGATAGATGTGATTAAACACAGACAACAGGCAATTTGGGATGCGCTACCTCGTTAGGGTAGAGAAATATCTGAATGAATCTAAAAGCAAAGGCTAAAAATAATGACGCAGGCGAACAAATTAAATTATTATTTATTTGTGTATGTTTTCATAGATCGTGAATCACATCAAGTTCCGTTTTTTGGGCTTGCAGGTATCAGTAACAAACTTTAACAGTAATAGTGCAAACGTTAAGAGAAGAGACTACGAACAGGAAGCGGTCGACTATTTCCGAACCAAGCTGGAACAGTATGGCAATGCAGAAGTACCCATAAAATCCCTTCTCGGACACAGGTGCGCAAAAACAGCCTTAGACTAATTATGACACAGCTAAACAACGTGCCCAAACAAATATGGCAGAAATCAAACTGTTTCGATTGAATAGTCGGGGCATAGACCAAAAATGGCTTCAATCACCAACAATGTAACTGCAATTTCTAATTTCATTTATTATAATAAAACAATACTGCTGCTACGTATGAGCACAGTAGGTATCAAGGAATACTTTTCTTACGCAGCACAAATTGTCCATGTTGGAAATATGTTATTGTTTACAGAATATCTATTGACCCATTTTCGGGCGTGATTCTGTGCTCGTGGTTGTGGTTCCTGATGATTTCGGCGTTTATTGTCGATTGATAAGCATAACGCTTTTGGTAGAGATTAGGTGCCCGTAGGTAGGCGAAATTATATCAACCCTCACAATAAGGGACTCAGCGTATATTGTCATGGGCCGCCATAAATTATTCATGACAGACAAAATGCAAATAGATCTAGCCGAAATGGTATCTGCTCAAAGCGGATTGTAATTAACTTATCGTGTCTCGTTATTACCGTTATTAAATATGAAGGCTATGAATATGGCTGGATTTAAAGGGAATAGTAGAACAAAGTAGAACAGTTTTGCTAACCTCATCTTTCATGGATTCTAGATCTCAAGCGTCACCTGAAGTGCGACACATTTCCGGTCAGCATGGCAAAGAATTCCGGGATTTTCTTGCGAAACACCCGGACATTTTTGTGCTCAAAGATGACCACGTAGTGCTCCGCTCAGTGTTGGAGAACGTCGAGGGAGGCGCGTCGCTTATTCACCTCGAGGAGGATACGAGTCTCGTCGAGGAGGAACCTCCAGCGCTTGATTCGCACCTGCGCGAACAGCTCTGCTCAATATTCGAACAACACGTTAAATCACGTAGCTCCGTCTCTGTCGACAATCTCTTCCTGCACTTGACGTCACGTTTTTCACGCGACGTCTACTCGAAGATGATTAAGTGTTCTGGTGACCTCTGCGCCTTCCTCAAGATGAACTCACACATATTTCATGTGCAGAGCAACATAGTCACGATCTCGGCTGAACGATTACGTCAGGCAGCGCAAACCCGCATTCAACCCGATCCCCCCGCGCCAAAACCGCCGCCACAACCGTCGCCCGCCCAGCCGCAGAGTATTCAGCAGCGGATTAAGAATCAAATTCTTAAGGTAGGACAGTGTAGGCCTGGTTCGTTACCGGAGTGTGGAGTTGCAGCTTTTATAAGTAATCCAAAGGACTCGGCACTATTTAGAATTATATACTAAACAAGTAATCCTGCTTATGCTATTTATTTTGAGTTAGCGACAGCGTACGCTCGTTTTATGATACAAGAGTAACGGACACTAGTAAATCGATTTTGAAATCCTACGAAACGCTCAAACTCTTTCTGAACTTGCAATTCATGCAGCAAATACTTTAAACGAACAAGACGCAATTTCAAGGAATTATGACAGAGACGTTCAATGATCAAGTGCTTCTAATCGATCCGTTGGTCTCTCTGGCTAGCATCAGTACTGCTTTCTACTTTGTTTAGGTAGGACTCTTTGGCTTTATTTATATTGCTAACTTCATTTAGTAGTTCATGAGACAAAGTTTTAGTCACATAGTTCAGCAACACTTTCTTGTGATCAAAACGATCATCGGAATATTCTCTAGCCAGCTTTGAGTAATTTACTGATAAAATCTAGGTTAAGTTTTCTATTTGATTTTCTCTGTAATAAATCATCATCTTGAGTTAGAGGATGGAAATCTACTAATTGCTTTTTTTCTTTTAAACCAGCTTTTATGGGTAGCAGATCGTACTGCTTGACTGTTATCATCTGTTGATGATTGTACACAGACCATCGAGACTTGCTTGAAACGCTTGATTAACCCATATTGTAAAAATAACCCTATACGTTTTTACCATTTTCTTTTATATCATTTGTAATACTACAAGTTATATTACGCACTGTGCTGTCACATATGGTAATTTTATTCTTCACACAATTTATTTAATATTCATCCCTCAAGTCTTAGCACTATCTATTTTAGATACACAAGGTCAGTTATGAATCTTACAAATGATTCGACTTTCCCTTAGTTTTTTTACTTTTAACTGCAAAATAATCTGCAACATGACAGTATCGACCTTGATCCAAATTACAATATATCAAACGTATTTACTACAGCATATTATATGATAACGGGCATTGTATCCATTTTGTTTTCAAATGCTTTTCGGTTATCTCGTCTTATGTCGACTCGAATGACCATGGGCCACCTTTCATTCTCATGTTCTAAAAGTTCCTATTGCAATTCCTCCAATGGTCTAATCGTCAGCGGTTCTCTAAATCCGCTTGATGTTACGAAAACCATTAATGAGAGAGCTAGCAACTGGGTTGGCCGCTTCGAGGTCTCTCACCGAAAGGCCAAGGCCGCTCTCGGAAAGAGCCGACATCGATCGTTGACCTTACCATGTCTTCCTTCTCCCTTCTCTCTTCCCGCTGTAATAGCGTAGGTACCTAGTTATCACTGGGTCAATGCAGTTGGACAATATGGTTCGAGCGCGCTATGTTTTCACTATAGGCCCTTCCATAGCAATACGCGATGTGGACTCGCTTTGAGCGGGCAACCTTTTGGTGCTGTTACTATCGACCATTAATCGATTTATTTCAATATTATTGCATCGTAGCGATTATCAGGTTTGATGACGAAATTTTCGTAGTATTGCTTCAATTGTCGTGGTGCGTATAACGAATGGAGTTACGCGGTGTTTACCCTACAGTCAGGCTATCTTTCTTAGGCTCTATTATCTCGGCACATAATCTGCTCTATCCACTAGACAAGTAGACGTCTGAGAATAATGTTTCTTACCGGAAACAAAAATACGTAAAAAGGCATTGAAACGTACGATAAGAATCATTATACCGTTATAAAATTACTGAAATATAACACGGGCGAGTAACTAAAATTACGCTGCTTGAACGAATTCAAATATGCCATAGTAAAAAAATGTACATCTATCAATAAAAATATTATGCACGACAGGTGAACAAGGTCCGGGCAGCACGCGGCTTTAGTATTAATCTAAAGAGATACTGCCTGGTCATCTTACATACTGGATACATTCATTATTAATTTTAGAATGCCAAAAACAGCGACCTGATGCCCCGCAACTAATCTTGCATGAGCAAGACTGAGGAAGCTTTTATTCTAGTTTTAGCACTCATTTTTTTTTCGCTAACATGATTTTTTTTTTATTTAACCGCTATTTTCACTTGTTTTTGTTTGATTTTACTTTTATTAGGTTGTCGCTGAAAACTCGGCAATGGAATATCGGGAGCGCGGTGGAGCAGCTGGAAGCTATTCCCACACACCCCCTGCCATTGTACAAAATCCCCAACAGACACTGGAACAGCAGAAATGTCTTCAGGAGATGTTGCGAAATGTTCGAATCATCGCCAAGCCCAAGGAGTGTGCGACACTTGTTCACAATTTGCTCAACAAGCAGTACGAGTCTGTGGCCGTTGACGCCGAAGGCGTCAATCTTGGCCCGAAAGGTCCCATGACTCTGCTGCAAGTGGCCACGCCCGATCGGCAAGTTTATCTATTCGATTTGCTTTCGAATCCTGCACTATTACAAGACGGCAAATTGCGCGAGTTGCTTGAGTCTGAGCGAGTTCTTAAGGTCATGCATGATTGCCGCAACGACAGCGCTGCCCTCTATCACCAATTTGGCATAACATTGCGAAACGTGTTTGACACGCAAGCAGCACATGCCGTGCTTCAACAACAGGACCATGCCAAGCCCGTGTACAAGGTTAAAAATATTTCACTTGCAACCCTTTGTGACATGTATGGCGGACCGCTCAACCCGCGCAGAGATCAAATGAAAGCTCTGTACAGGTAACCAATTAATCACCTATTTACAATAATCTTTATAATAACCGTATACCATGCTATGATATACAGGCGTAATAATACTTGACAACATTGTGGCAAAAACACATAATATCTGTTGGTGTCATTTCGGCATGATTCAATATCGAACCAAGACCATTAAAATATAAGTACTTAGAAATTATAAAAACCTAGATCATTTCGGGTTGACCGCGCCAATTAAGACAACTCATTACATACTTTGTTATTATGTCAATTTCAGGCGAGACCAAAAGTTCTGGTCTCGTCGTCCCCTGACGGACGACATGATCTTCCATGCCGCTTTCGATGTCATTTGCCTGAGTGCACCGTCGGTGCTCGATAATTTGAAGGCAGCAATTCGCGAAGAAAGTAAAAGTCTAATGCAAGACCTCTGCCAAGAACAAATTCATTCCTATATTCAACCGGACGAGGTAAATACACATAATACACAACTACACCTGCTAAAAGATTCGTAGATCCATGCTACAGAGTTTGCTATCGCATTTGTTAACATGAACGTATCCAAGTTCGCACCACTATATATAGGCTTTCTCTCTGCGAACTGAAAATCTTCTGTGAAAACCGCCGCACAATAGAAAAATAATGTATATCCACCTGCACGTATGGCGACTACCGTGCATGGCTTTTGTTTTTTCGTAGCCCTCCGTATTATACAATGATGAAATCGGGCACTGGCAACGCGAATCAGCTATCCCTAAGTGTTTCCTTATCTAATTTATTCCATAGGTGAAACTTAAGAAAAAGCAGCGCAAAGTTGACCATGAGGTATCCGATCTCCGGGCACGCCTCAGTGGCAACTCGGTCAAACCTATCGTCTTGTCCAACCGCGAGATCCGTCTCTTGCGCTATATCGAGCTCACAGACGAGGAGATTGCGAAAATTGAAGGCTCGCCAAAAGTCGCTAAGAAACTTGAACGATTGCGCAGTCACGGCAAAGAAGATGGAGATGAGGAAGACGAAGAGTGCGAGGACGGTGATTACGGCGAAGAAGAATCAGAAGAGAGTGACACGGCTTCACAACCGCGTTCCGGCGATTACTGGAGCTACGTAAGCGATGAGCCCTCGTCGTTAACGGCCACCTCACAAGCGGCCGCCGAACCAGTCAGCAGTAATTTCAGCCTGAACAGCTTGGCCAACAACATCAGCATCAACAACAACAGCAATCATCATAATAACCTTAACAATAATAACAACCTCGACTCAATCGGATCAAACGTGAGCAATCTCAGCAACTCGTCGTCAGGTTGCTGCTGTCAGTGCCATTTACATAATAGTGGAGCAGGTAGCGGATCTATCACCGGCCCCAACAGCATAGTTCGCTCCGCTGGCAGAGAAAGAACTGCATCTCGAGGTTCGTTCAGTGCAACAATAACAACAGAAACGGCAACTACAGGAACATCAATGACAGCCCCGGACAGCTCGCTGTCCCCGGGTACAGCCCCTGTTGACAACACCAGCACCACCGCATTCAGTCAACCCAACAATATCAATGATGCCAATGGCCTTAGCAATCACCTAAGTAACAATAATGGTAATGGCACTAGCAAGACAGGCAGTGGCAGCAACGGTTGCAGCCCAAAATTAGTGAATGGCAACGTTCCATTAGAGAAGACGATTTCAGCATCGGCGATCAGCGCCATGGTAGACGAGGAAACACAGACATTATCTACGGGTGAGTAGCATTGGCAACTGTGGTCAAGCGTAAGTAGACATATGGTTACTCAACAGGTTGGTTGGGGTAAAATGCAGCGTCTTGGTAGAATCGTATGTGTAGATGATAGATTAAGTTATATATTTGTGTATGTAATTTATGGGCACTGCGCTTGAATTCTAATAAGTCATTCATAAAGGTCGCTACCAAATAGCAGCATGACTTATGCTGACAAACGAATTCATCAATAATAAAAAATACAAACTGGAGATAAAAGATCCACATTGATTTACCGTGAAATATAGGAGAGGAATTGACAATTCGTGAAAAGTAGTGCTCTCAACGCAACTGAGTTTCACCATCGTGGGCGATCCCTGCAGTTGTTCCGTTTAAAAGATCATATATATTACCAATCTATACCGCTGTTCCTTGCGTTCTCATTTTTTAGGTGATGTTGTAATCACAAGGGTGTACTTCGAGGAGGGAGAGCGACCGGGCACACCGCCGGAGCCCGAACGAAAACCCAACGCTCCAAATGCCAACAGCACAAAGGCCAACCCAATTCAGCTTGCCGCATGAACGCAAACATTGGACGAACACATTTTATAGATGTACCCACACAAAACAAAGAAAAGGAAGAGGAACGCTGGCAATAGCCATCGTGCGGAGTAAATCCTGAGCGTCTGGCGTTAGCGCACGGCGGACGTACAAAGGAGACATGCACATCACACATGCAAGTGTGATGCTAACCTGAGCTATCTAAAGTTCTGGAAGATTCTGCCACCCACCCCCCTCACCCCCCACCCCCGGGGGGCAAGAAGTCCACAGACATTTGCTGACTCTCTGGATCAGAACTTACTCCAGATTAACAGTAACTCTCTCATGATCTGAAGTATCGACAGTAACAAGGCTGAGGTCTGACTAGATACGAAGGAAAGACGCAAATCTACTTATATCCCAACAAGTGTGGTGTAGAAATGGAGTTTGCCCGCCAACGGAGTATAAAAACCTTGTAGTTTAGAACAAAAGGATACGACGATTCACTTGCTAGAGCACACTCCAATTCCTGACCCCTACCCGCAACAAGCAAACAAGCCAGGATCCCGTTTGTTACATACGGATTACATCAATCCGTTTTGCATTTATTTTCCCAATTTATGTTGTTGTAACGTTTGGAGCAACTATAAAACGGGACAAAGAAATATAACCTATGATAGTTCATGCTGCACTTGGTATCTCGAGAGCCAGGAAGCGATAAGGTTGATGAGATTATTCCATATGGTAAGGACAATAAGGTAATCACTTGATAATAACTTTGCATCCAAATTTTCGTTCTGACCATACCGTTTTGCACAAAGGGCGGTTCAAGATATATTTATCATTTAGAAAAAAGGCACGAAAAAAGAACCTCGTATGTCTGTTACGCGTTACGTGCAGGCAAACGAAGCTAAATCCTTACCAGACACCATAACGAATTTCACAATACATACATAATATCGAGTAATGTCAATAGCTTAACAATACGTGAACATTATTAGGAACACGTAAACACACAAATACAAACATACGTAATAAGCACGCGCCTTGATCGCAAAAATTACACATATTTTTCGTATATCTACATATACATATTTATACAAACAATATAGACATATTTGGACAATTACGGCTCATTTCTGTATTATATAGGAAAGCTATCCTTAATACTGTACATGACGACAGAGAACATTACCGTTATTTCTTTATTTTATTTGACATCTTCGTTTCGTATAACGATTGTCACAGACAAACAAATAAACAAGACAGATATATAATGGGAAGTGAAAAATTTGATACGAAGTCGCTATTGCTGTCGATTGCATTAACCTAATCGAGCGTTTGAAGACTGTGTCACTATGATGCGTAAGCCTATCATAAGCATAATAACAATGACAAGAGTAGGTGTTAAGAAGAAAACGGCGAGGATGGCTCTTTATCCGAGAGAGAAATGCCAGTGCTGATTACTGATGATGAATCTGGCATCAACAGAGACTTACAAATAATAAGTTGAACTACAACAGAATGGTAAATAGATATCGACGAAAACCATGAAAAGCGCAGTCAACGAAAAGCGGAAAATTAGTTGAAGACAAAGCCGCTTTATCACGAGTTTCCGCTCTAATCAATGTTGGGTACAACTTCAAAAAGTGGCGAATCAAAACCCGAATCTCCCGAGATCACCGAATAAGCAAATGCTTGCTTTTCTGATGTTCTGTCGACAGATATAGGTACATGGGGTTTGCAGGATTTGACAAGCAAAAACCCGAACAGATAATTACTACAACTGTATTCGGAAGTGGTGGAACCGATTCACGATGTTGTGGTCACTATAATTCTGCAGTGTCTTCCTTACCTGTTCTAAAGCCAGATGGATATTCCTGCTAATATTTTTTGTTGTATTGGCAGTAGATTACTTAGAAGAAAGAAATAGCCAGGTACGGGGTTTGCAAGGACTGTTTCTAAAAAAAACTTTATTTTTCACTGGAAATGTCGATTGTTAGTGTACTTTACCTATGCTACATCATATGTCACCATATATAATCTTAGTGTTAAAAACATCTTTTTTTTTGCTGGCGTATGAATGGCTGGCAGATTTCTGACTGATTTCCTATATTGAAACCGCCCACCACTATGAACATGTTTCATTACTCCTGAGATCCCGATTTCGACAACCTGCATTCAACCGATATCTGTTTCACATGGAATTGCGTTGTCACTCTTTTTTACACTGTCATTGTTTTACTCGTTGGCAGAATTAACAGGTGATGAATAAGTTAGTATCAAGAATACGACAGATGATTGTAAGAGATAGCAGAGAACCTATTGGAAGACCATGATAAGGCAACGATTTTTTTGGGGCTCATGCCTGTGCTGAACGGCCGAATCTATTGTTGGGTCGTTCGAACACGAGCAAATAATTGAATATGCCGCTAGATACTTAATTAAGCCGCCAGTCTGATGACCAGGGCTCTTTTAATATTCCATCACCCGTACTGTCAATAGCTTTATTTTGATAGCGACAATGTGTGGCTACTGTTAATCACATTAATGAAAGCATTATTACCTCCCCGGTAATAGAGCATATCATTAGAGAATCAATGAGAGAGCATCAATGAAAGGCTTAGACTTTCAGCTTGTGACTGCGTATGAGTAGGTCCCGAGACTGGCAAAAACCTAAAGACGAACCCAAGCTTAGTCGCGGTTAACCCTATATTCTATTCTCGTTATAGACACTGGCTACGAGAACGCCTATCATATAAGCTTGCTGTATAATTGCAGCATAGAAGATTTACTAAAGCACCTGTTTTGAGTATCTGCCCTGGTCGCATGACGACCACCTCAGATCGACGCAGGTGTGTATATCAACAGTCCCGTCTCATCGAATTCAGATCATTACAGATGACAGTGTTACTTTTAAACATTGATTGATTGAAAGAACACCATCAATTATTGCTTTGCTTGACCACCTTGTAGAACACTTAACAGGCTGACTGCTCATTCCATGTGCTGATATTCTTTATTGAACCGTACAAGAGTAGCGATAATGGCGTCAGTGTCAACTGCAAAAGTAGACACCATCATTTGCATAACTGCAGGCACACTTTCGTAATGATAAAAGGGGAAATGAAATAACAAGGACAGCAACCAAACGAGTCCGAACTGCGAATTTGGCCAACAAGAAAAACAACAATAACACCCGGCTGTGCAAAATCACTACATGTTTATGCGTCGCCGACAGGTGTTAGCAAAATGATGCATCCGAAGAAACACAAAAAAAAACGGAAAAAAGATTATTATTAATACGTTCTTCAATAAATAGTTACTCGTCGAGAGTAGAATCTGAATGAGCGGCTTGAAGCCAGCTCGATTGTGATATGATAACTTCCGCAACGGAGGCCGTAAGAAAGAGTATATATATATGTATCAGTATATATATATATATACTGAAAGATAAACAGAAGTTTTGATAGCAAAAGAAAGAAAGGGCATGCGAAAGAAAGCGAAGTAAATATGAGAGAATAAATGCGCGAGTGAGACCTACTATCTAAGTATATATATATATACATATATATGAAATTGAAAAAGGAGTGCGCTGTCAATACACGTTTATATATGAGGATATTATTATATGGATACTGATACTGCTGTATCGATTTAATAGAGTGGGTAAACTTTGCCACCCGTCCGTTAATCACCGACGAACTCCAGCAGTGATGAGTCCAAATGACATATGGTAGAGAGCAATAAAGCAAAAAAGTAGACGTTCAGAAATGATGAAAGTATTTGTATGTTTGGCTCTCGATGATCCATTCACCATATTTTAGCTATTTCGCTTACGTTTTCCTTTTTTTTTTTATCTTATAGACAAAAAATCAAGAGGGAAGTTGTGTATGTTTTATTTTAACTACAACGTATGACCTCGACAATCGATCGCGGCCCCTGTTTGATTTTTTCGCCCGGCCTGTCGTTTCCCACCCGAGCTTTTGTTTTGAGCAGGTAAATTCAACTGCGTAGGTTTAGGACATTTTTCCATTCTAAGTCTTCTTGCTTCCCAAGGAATGTTCCCTGAGCTCAAGCGTTGCTCGGAAATGGGTGGACCGGCTTCATTGTTTTGTCTCACATGGGTTTTATGTGTGCGTACATAAAATAGACAATCCCATGTTCTGGGCGCCCGAAATACTTCGCCTTCGTTCTGAGTGGCTGACGAAATCTTCTAAACGTATCTATGTCAGCGTAGACAAAAAACGAAAAATAAGGTATAACTACAGTCTGTTCCTTATGACTGCGATATCTGCTATTGTCATAGTCGTTAATAGCGCTGAATAATTGATGTTATTGTAATGTTGTCGACCGCCGTAAATGAAAACAGAATCCGCTCTGTAGCATCGTTCACGGGAAAGAGCGAGCCATGGGTGAAACAACAGCTACACATAACAATGATTTCATAAAACATCACAGTTGGCAAATATAAAACTTACAGTCAGTTTTTGACGGCGGCGCTATAAAAAAAATAACAACTAAATAGTAGGTCAGCCGCATCAGGACAACAACAAAAACAACAAGAAGATTAGTATTAGCAACTATACAGTGACAGCAGCAGCCGCAGCGGTAATAAGAACAACGGCAATAATACGATACAAGAATAAATGAAGCGAAACATTGGTAAAAAACGAGCGTAAGCTGCTATGGAATAATAGAGATTATAGACGAAAACCACACAAATGACCGCCATGGCATTGCACTCGCCCATTAGCCCCTCACCAGATGCACGAAAGCACGACAGCACTGACTAAAATTTCAAGAGAAAAATACAAATTTCCATAAAGAGAAAGACGAAAAAATAGATAATGAAACACGATGGGTAATATTTTAAGATGATGTCAAAAAAGCAAAAACGGGGGGATCTATCCGTCAATTGAAAATACTGATTTTCCGCATTGTTCCGGTTTTAACTCATCCGACAGCTACTGGACAGTTTTGTAAGCGCGAAGAACAAGCTAACAAGGTATAGAAACTAACCATGGATGCAACACATTGAGTGGTATAGCAGTAGCAGTGTCTACAACAAACCTATGATGTTTTCAGAGAAAAATTTTGAAAGCACAATTTATATGTTTCTGTGAAAGCGTGCTGCCATGTTCCGGCATTGACACCTCAGCGAGAACACCCGCATCTGTGGCATGCATCTAGAAGATAAACTCGGCTTTTTATGAACTGTTCGGTAATACTATCGGAAAACAACGGTAATAATGGCAATCGGGTCAAATGCGTATTTTTTTTTATGAGTTCGGTTGGGCTTGCTTAGGTTTAGGATGTTGGTGGAGCCGTCACGAGCAAATTGTTTCGTGGCAATATCCATATCTATGAATACATACAAATGGGGATATAGCAAATGGGCCACTGAAAAAAAAATGTACACCCTTGGGTACCAGGGGTGGTTGCGACACGGGGGCGGAATGGCAGACAACCGAGACAATCTGATCTAATTGAACGTGTCGATCATTCTCCATTCATACACAGCTGAGACCGCCTACACCGGTCAATCAAACATCTACCAACCAACCAACAAACTCAAATAAAAAAAAAAACAATAAAATACAGTAAATTCAATACTGAGTATTCAATTAATAGTCTGTTACTAGTTGGTAGCACAGATAGTTATAATATGACGACACGTTATGATGAATGGTCTAACGGGCGAAATTGCAATACGATTGTGAGGCCAATTTATAACATAGGATCAAAAGAAATTGTTTGTTCAATAACGTTTCCGATTGATTTGTTCCAAATGCTCGCTTGTATATACGGTCGCTGTATCTAGTTAATCCTGTGAAGTACGTATCGTATCGACATAATTTTAAAACAACGTGCTATGCTACAGACAAACGATTGCACTGACGATTATTGGAGGAGAATATGCATTTCGCGCCATTCCAGCATAGGATCAACGTAGGGTACCGAGATTGAGGCTCTTCAAACATAATACTCATTTCTCTTTCTATTGCAAGAATATCTGATTAGACGCGGTGCATCAGGGCATAGTAGTAGTGGTGGTTGTATTGTACTCGTATCTTTAATGGCTCCTGACAGATTTATACATAGCGATGAGAACACGGATGAGCAAAGTTAAGCAAAAAAAAACTAAAACAGGTTGAGTTACCTTTGCTAAAGGCAATCATTTTTTAATTGACACACATTTTGCCTAAGCAAAACAATATCACGCTGTAGAGCCAAATTGACATCAAACTGGGATTCCAACAAAAAAATCAATTTTACGTGTATCAGAGTCATTTAATAACAAAACGTTTGTTTTTACTTTGACGTTTGTTTTAAAGACAGCATGCTATTGACCGAATTTATGTTACTGAACCTAAAGAAATCTAATCTAAACAATCATGTATAACTTAAGCTTGAAGCTCATTGATCTGATCAAGCAATAGACCACAATGATTATTTTTTAAGCTATCTCTGTTTTATCTGAGATACAGCCTTTTTATCATTCCCATGCGTTTTCCCATGTTTTGTTAAATCTTAGAAGCAACTTTTGCATAAAAAACTATTAAGTTGACAGCAATTGACTACAATTTAGGCAATACGAAAGAACATTATCCTTAACTTCAATGCAAACATCATACAGGTGCAATAAAATTATTGAATTATATAAAAAAGCACACCCTTCTCCCCAATAAATTAACGCAATGCACAGACCTTTGTGCAGGGCCTGAATTTATTTAAAATACTACTTCTGTCAGGCCCGCCATATCGTGTGACTGGTATTACTGCGTTTGCGAAGTCATACCGAATAAATCAAGGCACGTAAGGTATATTTCACACGGAAGTTTCGCTTTTATTTTTTTTGACCTTCATCGGCCATCGAGTGCTTCTTCTTGGGGTAAGTGAAGCGACATGCTTTTCTTCTTCCATCGACTTGTCATCTTCTTTTTTTTCGACAACCTCCTTTACTTTTCTACCCATAGTCCGCTTGGCCTTTTTAGTTAACCGGTTTTCTTTCTGTTGATCTTTGCTCTTCTTTTGTACGAAAATTTCTTCTTCTGCCACTTCATCACCCTCTTCTGAGCCATTTTCCTCGTCGCTGTTGTTGCTCTCATCATCATCATAATCGCCGTCGAAATCTTGTTCCATATGATGATCTTCTTGGCCGTCATCATTATTGTTATTGGGAACAAAATGGGATTTCTTAAATCTTTTTGCTTTGTTATGTTTAGCCTTGGACTTCTTCACCTCGGCTGAACTACGCTCCTCATTCTCATGGAGAACTCTAAAAAAAGACAGCGATAAAAACAATAAATATCTGGTAATGCAACCTAAACGTATGATTTTGTTAAAACATATTATTTAATGTGATTGTCTGATAAAGCAGCCTATTGTAGCGTTTCGAAAACAGCACGATACGTACGTAATAATTAAATCTTAATCTTTAATCTTTCTTTAACGTAATAATTAAATCATTTTTATTGTCCCCCTGCTTATCCGTATGAGTGTTGTTCCCACGTAATATGAAACGCATGATTGAAGTTTACGTGTACAATTTGGTAATTATAGAGATTTCAACATCGAGAACCTAGTTGAAAAATATGACCAATATAAACTACAAAACAGGACGAATAAAAATGTCGGTATGACCATTTGCAGTCCTAAGTCGCTTCACTGCAGATTTTAGCATTACTGCCACTTACTTGAAGGTACCATCTTTTCGCCAAACAAATTCGAGAGTCACATGGAATTCAGCCATTTGGATGCCAACATGTTTAAGGACGTCGGCCATTTCTGGACTAAGCGTGTCCCCCTCAGAGCATACTGTAAAATCTTTAAGTAGTTTAATCTTGCCGTTTACTAGCTTCGTGGGAAGGCCAAGCCGCCGAAATTGCGGTTCCATCGAATGAACGAACTCGCTTAAGTCATCTTCTTTCAGTACAACAGTCGAAGTGGCGACAAAACCCGCACGAGCATAGTGTGGTTCACGATAAGATTCAAACCACTCAATTACTTCATCCTCACACTCTGACGTCAGTAATAAACCACACTGGCCTATCAGGCGCTCCGAAACCTAAATTATACGAAAGAAAAAAGGACATTCTGTCAAGTGTGTAGGGAAAAAATGTTTAACTCAACTACCAAGTTTTACTGATAACACTTGTCTCCATGATATAGATACTGCATGATTCGTAAATACATCATATGTCAACAAACCTGGCTCCTAAAATCACAATTAGAAGCACATTTATCCTAAATAAACAGTTATGACGTTTGCTTTACCTTGTGTATGTTAACAGCAATCTCGTTTTCGGCATTGCGGCCGAGGGCGATTCGTAAAACCTTATTCTTTCCCATGATCAGTTTAGAGGTGCCCTTCCACTCTTCACGAACATCCTTTAATTTATTATTCCGCATATTCTCAACAGAGAATATATATAAGGACTCATACTGATTGAGGAGGTCGCGAACTTCCTATAAAAGATAATTTGTGCACCAACACGCATATATAAATCAAATGTCATTGAATTTCACTGACAATTTATCTACTGTTTTTCCTTCTTGTTGCAAATACTATTAACCACTAACACCTTCTTCTTGTTAATGAAGCAAGGCCTATATGACGAGATTGAGCAGAAATTTCTTCTCTTTCACTTTCATCGTAATTATGAATCTCAGATTGCAGCATATGTAGATAAATTTGTTTCTATATGCGCTAAGTTTTCAGCTTTTGCTCGTAACTTTCAGCGTTGCTTGTGTCGTGCTACGCAAGTATTTCAATTCGTTACGCGAGGAGTTTTCACAGAGTATATCTATATCATCACCAGAAAAGACCAAAGAAAACCGGAAGTGCCTTTGTCTGCAACGGAGATGACCGACCACAACAACTCGGATATTGCTATACTGGTAGCATCATAATTGCAACAGTAAAAATAGACAAATGTTATTCTACGATTCAGCAACAGGCCACCTAGGTTTCATCCATTTACCTGCAATAATTTCTAGCGCGAAATAAAGTGACCTGTCTAAACTACTCCAGCTAGGTGGCCTTTATCAAACATGTTGGCACGCGTCAAAGAAGCAGATTATAAAACAATAAATTATTTTAATTTTAGTCTGCAAAAGGCTATGTAAAATCTTCAGTAGGCAGCCCAGCTAATAAGTTTTGGATTGTAGGTCTGCTTCCTCTACAATATATTTTCGGTCAATGTATTTATATAGCGTTACGAGATACGAATGTTATAGATATGTGATAACGTGTGTTGCAGTTTATTAAGCTGTTCACATTATAACTGTACCGCTTATATCTTTGGTTTTTATTCGTATGCTTACTCGTGAACAAGCATAAGTCATGCCTTAGGCGAAGAATCCCACTAAGTTTAACTGAGAAAATGATAAAAATCATATCGTGATTTATTGTAAATGTTAACTGACTTTTGTACTCTTTAATATGAGTGTCTAAATCGAACTCATTCCGTTGCGGTGATCATTTGGACGAACTTACGTTTATGAATTTCTCTTTATGTTCGAGACCTTTCTTTTTGGCCTGGGTCAACGAAATGACGCGATTTCGCTTCGACACGGGCATTCTAAACTCTTCTCGTGCTCTACTATAGCTGCAAAAAACACAACTTACAGTTTATACCAGCACGTCACAAAATACTACTTTTCGCGGATATCGAGTGCGAGGTATAATGATCACTAAAACAAAACAAACACACGTGTTCACTGTCTGTTCGATCAGGAACTCCAACTCTACAGTTCGTCTGCTATCGGCGCTGGCGCGTATTTTGATGCGGCCGCCAAAGTACAAAGCCAATGACAAAAATCAATTGTCCATTATTGCCTACGTAGTTTAACAATTCCCGCAATATACCCTAATTGGCTCATTTGAGCCCTAATTCGAATGTATTATTGGGAAAGAGCACAGACAAATGTATGCCAATTATATTCAAACAGTAGCAAACAAATACAGCTTACTATATGTATCAGTAATTGCCATTATTAGAAGATTTAGCGAACGAGTTAATTGAAGTGAAAACTTAAATGAGAGCTAGCTGATACAGTAAGTAGCATCACTAAAGCTTGAAAACATGTTTCGACACCAAGTAATAATAAGTAAACTTAACTACTCAAATTTGAATGGTCCAAACCGCGTTTTATAAATGGCTGAATTAAAGCAACTAGCTTTATGCAATACTCGAAACATTTATATGAAACAACCATACGGCGTCACAAAATGGTCAACTCAATTTTTTTTTTTAATTATACTTTCGACCTTCATCAAATGCGAAATTCAATAATTCAATATTTTAACATTGAAGTGAATTCATATATATTTTTAAAAATAACAATACAATTTTATTTATTTATGACGGTGCTGCATGATTCTGCATATAATAGTATCACATTTTTAAAACGTCGAAATTAACTAAAAGAATTTTTGGAAATATTATTATATTGAGATGAATAGATAGTAGGTGCTTGAGGTCCACACCATTGCTTTCTGTGGGTTACCTAGCTATCCTTATTCTCAATCTAATTCCCTCACGTTGTAAGTCTTTATACAACAAGTCGATACGAGATGTATCGACCAGCGGTTTCCGAATTTCGAACGATCTTTACTACTTGACCTCTTTTGAGCCCATAATAGCGTGCGACCGGATCTCCTGCCTGAATTCTCATAAGGTGATTTTCCTTCAGTTTGCTGGAAATGATTCCATAGAAATGCAAAACCCCAAAATTAGTAGTCAACTGTGTAGTGTCACTAATTGCAGACGATCTGAATAAAGCAGTGCCACAAACACAATTGTATTACTACTAGCATCTTACAAATCAATTAAGTATTTGGGTAATTTTTCATTAAACGAGCCATTCTAATTTATATATTGTAAATCTAAACAATTTATCTCTAATCTAAAAGATAAATTGTAATACATTTGAAATACGCATAACTTCAGCGCGGCTTAAATGGAAGACGGGTAAATTTTGCGTAAGTGGTAAGATTAAGTAGTTTTAAATTAAAACCTGGGAATAAAAATATGTGCATGACGATGCTGTAATTTCTACAAATATAGAAGTTTTTGATTGAATAAATCTAAAAAGCTCAATGGCGCCAACTGATCATTAAATGCCACCATTGAATATTCCAAACATTCGTAACTTTAACAACTGAAACAAGTGTACTAGAGACATACTATCTCGCAAGAAGCTCCGCCTTCTCTTCGGGCGTGAGAACGACATGCTCAGGCACCAACTCATGCTCAATAATATTAATGAGCAGTTCACTTTCTAAAAAGTGCTCGAGAATATATTTTGGCGCCATGTCTCCAAGAGCTTGTTTTGCTGACGGGGTCATTCCTGCTTGTACCACAATGATAGCGCGAGATATATTCTCTTCCTGCATACGCTGACAGTACGTCTTAATCGTCTTGATACCGATTTTAGCCTCGTCAGGAAAGAAGACAAACATCTGGTCTGTAGGATCATCATTATGCGAAACAAGCACAACGAGATCGCTGCGTGCTGGCCTCTTATCAGACGGCTTATCTCCGAATTGATCCTTGAAACCCTCGAGGTCCTGATCCAATTCTTCCTGTGTCACTAGGTATCCTCTGTCGTGGCAAAGCTGCAAAAAATATATGAAACTAAAGTTTAGTAATCAAATTAATTTGCTCCGCTCTGTTTCGACGCTGATTAATGCGTTAAGTTGAAAGAGGCGCATTGTATACACATTGAGCTAATACAGCCACTCACTATAACGACAGCGTTCAAACGTAGTATACCTCACGCCTTTTTCTTAAGACAAGATTACCTGGAAGTATCTAGAGAAACCAAAGCTTTAAATATAACTATACATAAAAATTTAGTTTCATCGTAGAGAGCAGCACAGCCGTACGGCCCAAAAGCTGAACCGCTTTGTAATCACTGTCTGACTGAGCAAGCTCTCAAGCTTAACAACCATAGCCTTTTCTCTAACTGTAAGAAAAGTAATTTCCTAAACTAGTTGTTCTGTGCGCCATATTGAATAATCCGACCAAAGAGGTCGACTATAATAATGTAACCTAATCGGAGCCTCCCACATGTATGTATACTTTATTACATTTATTCGCTATTATTAGATGCCGGTATATTTTGAAAAAATAGAATTCGATTTATTTCCCATTCTAGTCATACGATGATCAAGTACGCCTTGTTTTGCTTATTATAATTTTCATGCAATAGGCCTAAGAGTAAATCACAGAAGCGTTGTCTAAAGCTCGACATTATTTGCTAATGAATGTCATTTATTCAGACACTTAGACTTTTAATCGTTCTAGCTAAAAGCCAAATGTCTTCAAACCGACTTTAGGAGGGCACATATTTTTACAAACCTGCATAATAGTCTTCCGAATTCGCCACAGTTTGTAGGTTTCTGCTTCATCATCCATGACGTTGCTTCTCTATTGGTTCTCGATTCCACAAATCAAGGTGAAATCGTCCGCCTCGAGCGGTCGTCAGTCACGCTGTGCTTTTAAATTGCGTTGTGCTACTTCCCGGTATAATCGAATCGAACGCACAATTCCACATGTTTTGTTTATAGAGGGCGGTGTGATCGTTTTGGGGGGGTCGAAAGTTAGAACAGCCGCTGACAAACTAAGCGGCCGGGTGATTCATGCCAACGGAGTTAGTCAGCGCAATCAATTGGCGCTCTTTAACAATTACGCTGTTACTTAGCAAATTTTACAAGATGGTCCTACTAAATCGAGTGGTAAGTTATCAAATGGCATAAGGTGAACCGGTGTTGTCGAATGTAAAATTGTTTATGAAATTCTTGCTTTCCTAATATTATTTTTATTTTATTTTAAGGCTTCATAGTAGTGAATTGCATTGATTATCAGTAACTAGCCAATAATAGTAGCCGGTAAATGTTTAACAGAAAAAAACGTTGTGTACGATTACATAAATTCGTGTTCAGCCTTTGTATCGCGCGCCCGCTTTATCCCATTTTGTTCTGTCGTGCTAGTCTAGAAAGCTAATTTCCGCAGCACCGAACTTACAAAAAATTCGTTTCGAAAGTTGGATGGATCTAAAAAGCATAATCAGTTTGCCACTCGCTACAACTATTTGGAGTTGACCTTTGTATTCACTCTAATATCGTGAACCCAAGAAGGCTGCTTATTTTGTTCAATTTTCCTTCTTTTACAAACTGCGTGTATAAAATGTAAATGAGAAATATCACAGAAGATATTTTTTCATGAATAAACTCGAAAAACTTTCGATAGTGATTGTAATCTGTCATAGCTACATTAGTAAACCTTTCTCCCCTATAATAGGATCAGTCTCACTCGAAAGGCTCAGCCTTTATTGGTTTTAGTATTCTAAAGAGAAACAATGTTTATTAAGACGTGTAACCTTAACAAGAGATACCACAAATCATAGGCTGTAACTGAAATTTCGCCTTGATTTTAAAAAGGGAAACTATGAAATCATGCCAGTCCAGCATTTTTTTAATGTTAAGGAGAATCTGAGTGGAAGCACTGCTGCAGAATAGGATTCATGTCCAAAATAAACGTGTTCATTAGATAAAGAAAGGTGGCTGGTTTACGTCCCCTTTTTTCTCGTCGGCATATAGCATATGACATGTTTTATAAAACGAAGGAGATATATAGAAAGAACCAGCTTATAGTTTATTATATAAGAAGTAACTAAATATGAACCATTTGTAGGCTAGTGTTTTGCGTAGGTCCGACGTACTTTTCCAATTCGAAGCATTCCAGTGCCTCGAGTTCCCTTCGTCGAGATTCTCTTTAGTCCGAGCTAATTACCCTTTCAAATAATTCAAATGTAATTCCAGGCGAAAACCTTGCGTTTAGCGGTAGGTGTACGGAAAAACATGCTACATACCAGCTGTCGCCTTAATATGCCTATGGTACCGATTGTGATTGAACAAACCGGGCGCGGCGAGAGAGCTTACGATATCTATTCGCGGCTGTTGAAGGAACGGATAATCTGCTTAATGGGATCGGTAAAAATGAAAAAAAATCATTCTCTAGAACCTTGCTATCTTGTATGTGCCACACAAGGTGACGAATATTAAATAGATAGTGTACAATTAGGGTGGCAGCTGTAGTTTAAATGTTTAATTAACTGTAAGTAATCGTATAGCAGTCAGTGTCCGATACTTTCACTATGACCCCTACAGTAATATGTTGACTATACGTTCAATACCCGTATGTATCAATTTAGGCTTGTGTCCTTTTTCCTAGTTTAACGTAATCCAAAAATGTAAAGTCCAACCCGCAGCTACTTTTGAATTTCATTGTCATTTATAAAACATCGATTCCCAAACGTTTCCTGGTTTCTATTACTGCCTGTGTCCCCGTGATGGGGCGGTAGTACCGTGCCTGCCTGCTAAATTTACAAAAACGTCGTAGTCTATGCCCGAAGCCGCGCGTTGACACGCTTCGTTTCGATCTAGTGCCAGCCCCCAAAAGCACTGCTTAAAGGTTGAAGTACCAGACGTAGAGCTAGAAATATATTGTAATATTTCTACAACGATTACACCTTCTACCGGTCGTTCTTAGTAATGAATATTTCTTCTGCCTTAGCTTCACATAAGGCCACACTTTTTTTCACAGGTAATCTTCTTTTCTTTTAGATCGACGACGATATCGCTTCATTAGTTGTAGCCCAACTTTTATTTCTGCAATCGGAATCATCAAAAAAACCGATCCATATGTACATCAATTCGCCTGGAGGCAGTGTCACAGCTGGACTGGGTATCTATGACACAATGCAGTATGTTTTGCCGCCCATAGCAACATGGTGCGTTGGACAGGCAGCTTCAGCTGCTTCCCTTTTGCTGGCCGCCGGAGAGCCAGGTATCTGTATATATCGCTTTGTTATAACGAACATTACAGAAGAACAAATTTACCGTTAAAGTCGCTACCGTAAAAAGCCCTGATGTAATAGTTGCTATTGTGAAGCACGTCGTTCTTAATTAATCTCATGTAGTTGTAACTTCTCTTTTCTTCGCTCTGTGTGTTATGTGCATAGGAATGCGGCACTCACTGCCAAATTCGCGGATCATGGTTCACCAACCGTCAGGCGGGGTGAGTGGTCAGGCGACCGATATCCAAATTCATGCCGAAGAGATTCTCTACCTTAAACGCACAGTGAATCTTTTGTATGCGAAACACACAAATCAGGCCCTCGAAACTATTGGTACGTAAGTAAAGACTAGTATTGCAAAGCGCTATGTAAATATCTCATTTTGAGATTATGTTTGAGGTTGAGGTTGATGTAGGTTGTTTCTATATTAATTCCAATATTAAAATATTGACAAATGATAAATGACACGCGGGAAGGCCGGTTTGGACAGGTAATCCACCTGGCTTAAATAACCAGAGTTCAAAGGCCCATAATTATTATGAAATAGACTATAATGTATACGCGCTAAAGTGACGCTTATACTGCAGAATACGTACAGCAACAAATTACCTATCAAGAGCAACAACAGCGTATACTTCACTCACATCTCAGATACAGTACAGACAGTGTGATTATGGTAATTATGGTTTTAATGTTGCCATTTGAAGCTTACTCATGAAACTGCAATCTTAATTGAATGAAGTCCATATGGAAGCTCTCCAGTTTTACTAAATCAGTTACCACGACATTCCACGCAATAGCTAAAAACAGTGTTACATACACATCCACGTAAGATATATGTGCTCTGTTACTAATTTTTTTAAGTCATTTTTCTGTTGCTGCTGTTGTCACTCCGATTACAGAGTCTGCTATGGAGCGCGACCGGTTCATGAATCCTGAACAAGCCAAAGAGTTCGGTCTGATTGATACGGTCTTAGAACAGCCACCTGTACGCGAAAACTAGTACTTTAAGAGACTAGTTCGACAAATGTTGTATAGATTCCAAATCATATTCTTGTTTGGTGATTTAGCTGATAAATGACTTTCAATTGAAATACACTGTATTCACTTGCAATCTTTTTCGCGTCAGTTATGGTCTAGGTAGTCGACGGAAGGAAGATTTATCAGCGATGGTTCCCGGTCAAGTTTGTTGCATTCTCATTCTAACGGTCAGCACTGGACTATCTCGATGTATCGTGAAGCAATTGTTTACTTCCGATTGAATACTGAATTGATATATGAAATAAACCTAAATTGACCTTAGTTGGAGAAAAGATTTTTAGTACTTTAATGCCCATAACTAGCTTATGTTAATCACAAAAATAAATGGCAAAAATACAATTAACTTTATATCTATTGCATGCTGCACATATATTCTCCAAAGACTAAATAAGCATTAAAGAATGGATTGCAAACTACGCTGAATGCAACGATATTCAAAAATAAGTATTACTTGGATAAATTGATGTATCGTTTGTCTAAGCCACACTGTGAGCATTGACCACGAACACTAGCTTTGTGTTGAAGCATTATACGAACGTTCCAATTAAATTACAACCATTTATGTTATCTAAATATAAGATGGCTGCTCTGTAAAGTATTTAAATTAGAAGAAAACTAAAGAAACTCTTCTAGACGAAATCCCACATGAAATTATATATTTCAAATTCTTTTGTTTGTGTGTTGAACCGGCGCGTTCTGACTGTTTCAGTCAAGGGATTAGTCGTCCAAGGCATTTCGTTAAACGCATTTTGACATTGCCGCTTTTAATTTAAAATGCACCCATGCTCATAGAAATTGTCTATTCCCGCGTAGTTATACTTAAAATAAAAATATGGTTTGAACTCGGTAGACAGATTTATTAATTATACAATCTGCCAGTGACATTCACCGCCAGCACATTAACTTGCCACGTTCGGCAAACATAGGACCCGCCTATTCTGCGATGGTCACCTCGACTTTAACGCCAGACTCGAGTACAATGTTCGTAATTTGCTTTACAATATCGGCAGGCGAGTGCAGGTCGATGACGCGCTTGTAGATTCTCATCTGGAAACGATCCCACGTCTTCGAACCTTCTCCGCAAGGCGTTTTACGCGTAGTGATTCGAAGGGTTTTTGTGGGCATACGAACGGGACCGTGTACAACGAGATCCTTGTCCCGGGCAGAACGCAGCAGATCGGTGCACATGCGCTCGAGAGCACGCACATTGCGGCCGGACAATGTGATCCTGAAATGGTTTTTCGACGCGCAAAACAACATAACATGGTTAAGGAGCCAGCTATCTTTCAAATCACCTGAATCAAACCTTTCGTTATCAATTAACACTCATGTAACTACAATGTGTGAGTGGATCGTTTCCAAATAAATAATGCGGCATTTTCGCAACTTGAATATAGATAACATTTGAGTGTCCTCAAATAGAACACCCACACAGACATAAAAGCAGGATACACAGACACGAAAAATGACTAAGTAGAACCGAACACGGTTTCAGTCAAAGGCGGTTTACTCTGGTGGAGGGGAGGGGGAGGGCTTCGCACCTAATCTTATGCACTGTCTGAGGTAGCGGTTCCTCAGCCTTTTGCTCTTTGTACGCGGACATCCTCCCACTCTGAAAATCTACACTTTTCAGAATTTCTGGCCGAGATATTCACGAAGAACAGCGCTGAGCCAGAACACACGTGTCTACACAAGTTTCGCTTTAGCGCAAAAGACTTTCCGGAAGTCAGCAAACATCGAAACCACTGAGGTTAGATTGGGCGCCATATTTTGAAAAGTGGCTATGGATAATTTGTTCGTAAATATTGCTAAATTTACTTGCCTTACCAAAAAATCAATCCCTTTTTCAGATCATGCTAATCTAAGTTATAGTTGCTCTCACAAAATCAGCCCCAAAAGACCTATACTCGATGTCGAAGACCCTCTCCACCAACACCAGCGCTTCTTCTAAAATCACGACGTAAGCCATGTTTGCGAGCAGTTGGCGTCCAGCTCCGGAGCAAGTTGTGGTGACAAAGTATCTGTGTGCCTGGATGTGCCTGTTAACATTTTGAATTCTGATTTCCTTCGTCTAACCGTGTTTTTTGGAAATCATAAACAAGCACCATGGCTGAGAAAGTGGACATGTCTCTGGACGACATTATCAAGGCGAACCGGGCGGCCTTCAGGACAGGCCGTGGCCGGGGTGGCTTCCGTGGACGCGGCGGACGAGGTGCCGGCAGGGGAGGGCCCCGTGGTAGCGGTGGTAGGCCTGCTCCCCGCAAATCCGGCTTCAGCAACTCGCCCCGCAAACCGGGCTTCTCCGGCGGCGCTGGCCGCAAGTTTCCACGAGTGAGTATTGGTATAGGCTGAGCAGTGTTTGGACACAACTGATCGCCAGCAGCGAATGCACAAACATCCGGCGGCGGCAAACGACCGGTTCGAACCGGCTAGCCACCGTGAGTGTGATTAGCGACCGGTAGAGGCATTCCGGTAGGTCGACTGCGCGTTCGTTGATTTGCGGTCGACTACCGTCTACAGTCTGTCATCGCAGATTGGTTGTGCCAACACATATAAACCAGAAATGAAATGCGAATGGCTCTTTCTAAAAGGCCACTTATTAGAACCACAACAGCAACAGCTGCCCCAGCAAGTTTACGGCGGCCAGTGAAAATGGAAGACTCTTCTTAGATTCTCCTCTCAAACCTCCCCAACATCCGGCGCCGCTGCCGCCATCACCGGCAAAAATTACTGCAGGACAACTTAAGTGCTGGTTGTGTGTTGTGAAATCATGATGATTATGATCATATTGATGTGATGGTGTATATCCCCTCTTCCAGTGTCAATTTCTATCGCAGATGTACGTCAGATACAAAGATACCATTCGTTCTCGAGATGGGCGAGAAAGAGCTGTATAATATGATGCCAGAATGATGATGATGATGATGATGATGATGATCATGATGATGGTCATGATAAGATGGGAATACAAATTGTGCAACGTGTACGAGGATCACTGAGTACGCTACACATGCCTATCTATCTAACCTATGTATGGAGTTGCGGCGCCTGCACACGTACATATAAATATTCTATCGGCAGATTATAATAACTCGCGCACTCGAGAATTCCTGGATGAACTGAAAGTCTGAAAGTCTGGCGTGACGGAGAAGGCAGGGGTGGTTTTACAGGCTGAATTCGTGAGCGAAAATGACGTATAGATTTGATCAGTTGATAACGATGCTAAAATCGATGCCGCACTGCTACAGCAATAAGAGATAAAAATAATGCATTGATATGATGCGATGAGCGCTCTTTTCATGTCTAAATATATCGATTTTTTCTCGACTGATCAACAACGGGCATTAGAGGCTGCTGCTGGTCAACGAAGCCCAAACGTTTTTGTTGGCGACCGTGACAGGAAAAGCAGAACTGATTGCTGTTGTGCTGCGACATTATGGGGAGCATGTTTGGACAGGGGTTGGCGAGGCAAGAGATGGCGGGGCGCCTAGAGGCCCAGTTCTGGAAACAAGTCTGAAAGTGACTATGTGATTGCCATACTCTTAAATGCCGAACGTGGCCAAAATAAGTCCATAGTATTATAGATCTTATTGTGCCGGATTGTCGCCGCATTATTGGCAGAGTGGTCGATTATTTAGGTTGGTGGTGTTAGGAAAGTCTTTTGCGTTTACGTTTGTCTTGTGTGTGCGTCTTCAAGTACCGGATGATGATGATGATGATGATGATGTTGTCCTCTCGTGATAACGCAGTGTCTAGATCAGTATCAGGCCTTTCTCTACTCCGAAGAGGGATGCGCCGGGTCGTTACCGGCATCTTAGCTAGCGGCTTCCGTGGAGTATATATATCAGTGTAATGTGTGTGAAACGCTGCGTCATCAGTCGTCAGCGCTAGGAAAGCTGGGAGATCGGAGGATGATCTCCCGGAATCTCTCAAATCTATTGCAAATCTATTAGCCAAATAATAGTCGCCACCATCCTACGCATGTGAATGGCCTGACGGTCCGTAAGGCAGGACCGCCTTCGATCTTCTATCAGGCGGACGCTAAGGTACACGAAACAGCATATCACCCCTTCCAGTTGCCTTCTTCGACCTAACCTGAAGCTGCACCGGCAGCGGTAAATGCCGAAGTTCATCTAGGAATGTGCGAGTGCCACAGTGTGAATTCAGTTCAATTCGGTCAGTCTATCGGTCGATTCGGTTCAGTGCTACGATGGTGCACACAACGGTGTCCAGGGCTTGTTCAGGGCTTGTCCGGAACTCGCTGGAGCTTGAGTGAGCTCGCAATAAGGGTTATCTTCCATATTGAATTCTTCACTTCTTAGGGTCCTGTTGGAAAGGGTACATCGGGCGATCGTTGGCAGCATGACAAGTTCCAGTATCGTGGAGCGGGCGCAAACAACAACGGTGTTGGAGGAGGACCTGGTGCACGTGATCAGTCGTCCAAGCTGACCATCAGCAATCTCGACTATGGAGTATCAGACGCTGATATCAAGGTAACTAACAATACGCTTCGAAACTCTATTACGATATGCACTGATGGTGGTAACCATGCTTTCCGATCGTCTGTTACAAAGCTACTTTTCAGCTAACTGTTTCAAACAAAGTCAAAAATATTCTTATGAACAATATATTAGATACGTGTATTAAATGGATCTTTTGTCGTTGTAGGAATTGTTCACGGAATTCGGTCCCTTGAAGAAGGCGGCTGTTCATTACGACCGCTCAGGCCGGAGCTTGGGCACAGCAGATGTCATTTTTGAAAGGCGCAGCGATGCACTACGTGCCATGAAACAATATAATGATGTCCCTCTTGATGGTACGTTGATCGAGCTGTTCCTACCAAAATATGCAGGTTTCTTCGCTTGCTTCAACGATCTTGCTTATATATTCAACGCGTTCCTGTATCTTCAACGCACGTGGTTGTAGTATCGTTATTGATGAGAAATTAGATGAAAAGAACAATAATGACACACGAAGACAACAATAATAAGATACATACAGTCTAACAAGCCATCCTGGTCACTTTCATATTAGGTCGTCCAATGAAGATCGAGCTTGTCGGTGACAAGCCATCAGCTGGTGGCGGCGCCGTTGGCGGAGGGCGCGTGCTGGCAGGACGAATCGGCAAAAAGCCCCGAGGCGGTGGTAGCTCGTTCCGGGGGCAAGGCAACGAAGGCGCGAACAGACGGTATGTGTGCTAGCATTACTGCCAACAGGCTCGTTATTCTGTCCGTTCTTTCTTTTACGATTACGCACCTGATGTTGTCGTTAGTTGTATGAGTTTTGTTATTATTTATTAGGAATTACGCTATTGCTACGAGACGTTTTCGAGAACCTCTCATTTTAAAACACTAGAATTAACGGTTCTTAGATCACTATTACTGTAGTGATAATGCAGTTTTTGAAACACTACACATTGTTATTAATTTTATTGTCGTTTGTTTTACTGTTTAGCGCCGGGGGCGGCGGAAAGCAACAGAGCGGTCGCGGAAATACTCGTGGTGGCCGTAAGGTGCCAGCGAAGACTCCGACAAAAGAGGAACTTGATGCTGAGCTCGACGCATACGTCTCGAAGATGGATACCGCCTAAAACATAGATATCTAACTGATCAACACAGACAGGAAAGCACACCAGCCAGCGACAAGACAACGTGTAGGAGCAAAAAATATGAGAAATAACACGGTGAAGGCTGAAAAAGAAGTAAAAACAGGAAGAAAAACTTTGTACAAAGACAACAACAAACAAAAACCCAAAACAATTGTGTATATTTAATAATGAAAAGCAAACAAATAAATTATCAATGTATACATAGAACCATGCATGAGCAGCAGCAGCAACCAGCGTATCATGAAGTTGCTGTGTTGCGCGAGCGTACTCTAATGCGTGAAAAGAGGACGCAGTTATACCAATAGAATGATGGAAAAAAACAAGTGGAAAAGCGTGGAAAAAAGTGAAATAAACACTTAAGTTATCATCATATATAGAAACATACAACAGTGTTTTAAATTCAACTAAACAGTTTTTTTCATGCTAGGCCGACCCTCTGGTGCTTTGAGTACCTAGCTCAATAGGTAGTTAACTAGGCATATATTAGGTAGGCCTATATTAGGCTAACTTCTCAGAGAGCTCCGACCGGCCGATGAGGTGGGATACATTAACGCCCCTATTAGGCTACCTTCTTAGAGAGCTCCGACCGGCGGATGAGGTGGGTTATCTTAACGGCCCAAAGGGCAGGGCTTGTTAACTTGTGACGAGTAAGGGTATGATGAATACCGGAAGACATCATTAAAGCTCACGGTGGCCCAAAGCAAAACCAGACTGTGTTCGCGGCTATGCTAAGTAGCGGTTTCATAGACATTCAGGGCAACAGAAGCAGGCCACTATAATGGATGTCAGCGAAGAAGAATGGACTTCTTGAAGTAATACCAACACAGATACAAAGCTTCATCCTCCGACATGGGGATCGAGGCAATTTTTTATGCTGGAGAATATTCCACATCACGCGGTTTTCTAGTACACGTCAGCATTTTCGCGGTCAGCCTCCTTGGAAATACAATAAAAACGCTAGTCTAGCACTTTAAGCTGACCTAAGATGTTAGGTCAGCGTTAGTTAGCGGAATGGCTGTAACGGAATAGCCTTTGTATTGTAGACTGATTTGCTGACCGTTATGATATGAGCAGTGGCATAGGTTGTGCTCAAATATGCCAAGCCTTAGCTGTGGCTGATAGGTTATTAGCAACGTTGATATACTGGAATGGAACGAACATTATTAAACGTCCTAGCCTTAAGGTTTTAGATGCGTTAAATGTTCCACAAATAAGACCAGTTCAGAGGCGAGAAAGGCCACTGCTCTTTGGTAGACGCCAACCGCTTGTTGTTTTCAACGTGCGATTTGAACAAGCATTAATATTCGGTGGATTTTGGCATGGTAATTGAAAAAACATTTTCTGCTGTTTTAAACAGGTCTAAATTTAAAAAAAAAATTATTATGGTGCAAGAACTCTAACAACTAAAACAAGCACATATCTATAGATTGAGAGTTTTAGGGTAATAATTTTTTTATTATAAATTCATCAGAAATTCCGCGAAAAATGTACATATTATTTGTCAAATATTAATCTAAAAACAGTATTTTTTATATTTAGTTATATTCATTCCAGTATTAAGTCTACCTAAAAGAATGCCTTTAATAAACTTACTCATTACTTTCAAATAGTACAAATACTCTAAAAAGTTTTTATTTAATATTTGTTCCAAAAAAAATGATTCATAGACGCGTGATCTGTAAACTGTTTGTCCCAACAATACAAACTAAACCTGGCAGTACAGAGTACGCGTTTCTTATTTTCAAATACAATTGGCCGGAAATAGGACATTATGTCTATGCGGCTAAAATCTCAGTTTGTGGAAAAGAAGCACAGCGTGAACAGACTTTAACGAGCGTAAGTCTGCATGGATTTTTTATTCTTTTTAATACCACCAGCCTTGATAGTACATACACGACTAGAAAAATTGCTATTGATATAAGTGCGAATGAATTGGACAGAAAATGCAGAAACTGAGGTATAGATGTATGTATATATAGCTTCTCGGCAAAATTCTAATGCTAAAGTAATTTATTATGTATTCTTCATCATTTGCGTGATCTCCTTCACTGCCAAATGGCACAAACGCACTTCGGTAGCGGTCAGAAGATACGATCAATTGTCGACATAGGATCAATTAAGATGGGCGCAAAATAATCTCCCACTAAAGCTCTTGCACAGCGGCTTTAACGATCTCTACCATGTCTGGACTATCATTGCGATGATTAAGTTTATCAGGTCTTTTCTGTTAGATAGCCTTATTCAAATCGATGCAACTGGATCTTATACAAATATTTGTTATGTTATCGCCCTTCTCGAGCATTCCTCAGGACGTTTCCAGCCCGACCAAATGCAACTCATGATTTTTTTGGGATGGACATCTGGCTTAACTCTCGTCTCAAACGTGTCTCCTGAAGTTAACATGTCACATTCACGTAAACATAGCACTTCTCGTCACACGTAACGATTCTTGTGTAGGACTAACCATTGTGACTGCGTGTTGTCTAGTGCCGGGCGAGACCTGAAACACAATGAAAAACTATTGTAACTTTTATTCAGTCTACAAGAACCCACACCCTCTAGTTTTCCGTAAATTTTATAGGTTATATAAGAGAGCTATATAACTGCGGTTCATTTTCTCGGCTAACTTACGAATCATTTATTAACTGCCTTCTCTTAAAGATGCTTTCAAGCTGTCCTCATGGACCTCGGATGGTTGATCAGGATCTGGTTAGTTCCTAGTTTCTCTAGTTCCAAAATACTCTTTTTGAACCCTAAAAACAACTTTCGAATACACCAGTCAGATAAAGTTCACACCGTACACGAAACAGACATCTCGTACTGCTTCGATAGTTTCCTGGCTTCAGCAAAGAGCTGAATAGAGTGAATGTAAAAAATGTATTTCTTCTTCCTAGCAAACCCATTGCTGAAGCCTAAACTCGACCCAAAATTTGCTGCGCGATCGAATACAACGAATTCGTCGAGTATAGAAAGTACCTGCAAATGGTGTATATAAGTAAACAAGCAATAAAGAAGCAACAAAAAGTACATTAAAAAAACGACTCTCACTTCTGTTAAAATCTAACAATTGTGACAAACATTATTGTCAGTCGGCATAACCAAATCTGCATTTTAAAAGCGCGCGCCGTATCAATCGAATAAAAAAAAACGTAGCGTTCATAAAAGAATTCGTCGCAGTAGCCGACGGAATTCATTTATCCGTATCGGTAGCATTCTGTTGTCACGTGATTGGCACCATATTAAAAATAGAATAGGGCTCCTTTACGAAGCTCCTTTATGTGAGGAAACGAAAATCGAAATTTATTTATAGTAGGAAGCATAAAAAAACATGAACATATATGGATGTTGCATGCTCGAAGGAGATAGGCACTTAGCAGATATAAAAAGAATAGTAGGGGAGGAGAACATGTGTATACAATACGGGTGTTAGACCCACAAGTCTACAAAATGCAAAGCACTTCAACTACCTGGCTTTGGGGATAAAAGCAAAGCATAATAAAAGCAAAATTCGTCACAAAACATGCATGAGCTTATTTATGCAACACAACCATAACTGATGATAGGTCATGGTTTACAATGACGAACCGGCGCTAATTCCGATATTACCTTATTGATAAAATCTTTGTAATGCACGTGAGCTTCTACGCTGTCACCGCTGAGAAATTTATTTTGAGATTTCCATTTAGACCGAGTCAGGCGATATAACGTTATAGGGCTTAATTTTGATCACAAAGCTGTTTATCACAAAGTTTACGATTTACCTTCTGTAAATGAAAAACATCGTTTTTATTTTTCCAAATTTTAATACATGTTATTATTCATGTCCAGTTAGATATGAACAACATTCAAGCAGAAAGGTGAAAAGTAATAGGACTTAGGCAATACATGATATTACATGTTTAGGATTGTTATCGATAGAAATCGAAACAAATTGGTTTTTTAATCGGCAACGTTTTATGGTATGACTTAGTAAAATCTGTGTTGTGTACGTTGATATACGCGTATTATAATATGCCGAATCGTGAAGGATCTCTTAATTGTATCTGGATACTTTAGTGGACAATCTGGCAGTATTTAGTCAGTGGCATAATCCCGAAAATGCTGAGCACAGCCTACTTTCTCAAGAGACGCACTTGTTGGAGACGCCCACTGTTGTTGTGATTCTATGTGACGATCCCTAGAACGATTCCCCGTAGCTTAAGGTTAACTTGCGCTTGAAAAGTGCAATAGCATAATTAACTTCAGTAATGTATGGTTACTCAGTTAATCGTGGGTTACTACTGCTATATAATAGAATAGATCTTATAAAAAAATTACATCAAATTTTACAAATGAAAAATTTATATCAAAATAACCTAGTATTTATGGAAGAGTAGTCATACAAATTTATTAATTGACATTCATAGAGCTTTTAAGGTCATTAAAACATCTAGTTCTTGTGTACAATTTCAAGATTAACTCAGGTCATGTTTGCTGCTAGTTAGTTCAATGCAAAGGTGAAAGACAATCTATCTACTACACAGCTGACGCATCGCTACTATAGATATGCCATCTAAGTCGATCCAGGGTTGCATCCAGGCCTTTTTACTTAATCTAGTCGCCAACTGTTAAATAAAAAACACATGTCTGTTATCAACATCGTATGACAGAACTAGACTCAAAGCTATTCGAATTGAGCTAATCGTCATCAAAAAATTCGATTCTACCAATCGGCAAGGCATTGATATCTACTGCTGTTGACTAGCTGTTTTTTGCCATGAATTTCAGCCAACTAGGGATAACGTATATCAGGTTATCGGCGACTTTTTTATACGAAGGGATACGGGAATCTATTATACGAAGAACCCCAAAATGTATCATAGTCTTTGGTAAATTTGACAGAACTTGGTTAAAGCGATTCAGCGTACGAACGCGTTGAGCAAAGTTGACACGTTAACGTTTCTCCCGTTGTTGACGGGGCGATTCCCCGAACAGCCGAAGCAGCCATCGGGTTATCGGCTTCCAAGCGTTCCAATTTTTGCGACAATGGTTTCGACTATATATAAAAGCAAGACTGCTGATACGCAGTTATGTATTTCCAATTTAGTTTATTTTATCAACAACTAACCTGCTAAGCTTGAAGCAAAAAGTCTATCCGTCTGGTCTGATATCTAACGCCCCACTGGTAAAGATTGTCGTCGAATGCGGCGAGATCGGACAATCATACTGACGACGTCGACATTATCTAAGATTCGTATAGTAATAATATCCATTATATCAGGCCTTACGATAAAATTCATTATTATCAAAAACATCCAACCAGTTATCTCGACAGCCCAATGCAGATCAATCTGTTTCTACATATCGTAAGATCGTAACTGGGCACTTTCTCAAGCAAATGTAGTTTCCGGCGATTAAGTAGTACACTTCGACAATTAACTATTGCTTCTTGTTGACGAATTAGAGAGAATACGTTGATGTAACTACCGGAAAAACATATATTGAGGAATATTTTTCACCACATGTTGTGTACTATATTTTAATAAACAACTATTTTATAACAATTTTAATAAACTAAGACAAAATTTTCTTAATGCACTTTTCTTATTTCTCGTTAGATGCATACTTGTTCTCGCATATATCCATCGCACTGTTTTGAATAAGTAGGGACATTGATTTACTGAAGAAAACTATACAATAACGTATGGTATTTAGAACACAGCTGTCGATATTCCGGAAAATCTGGTCAAAGATTTCGTGGAAATTAGGATTATTCGCACAGGTCACACGTTCAACACTAGTTCTCGTTAAAACAATAACCTCTATGATGCAATGAAAATCTTTCTCTTTCAAATTTGACTTTATTTTCATTCCTAAAAATCATAGTTTCGAATTCCCATAAGTGACAGGCAGTTGAATTTGTTTAAAAACAACGTTCGCCTAAAAATGTAGCGAACAATTTCTAGTCATTTTCAACAAACCGTTGACAGTATAAACATTGCAGGTTCAATGATCATTCTGCTGCTGCTGTCGCTGCTGTTTACAGCTGCTTTGCGCATCGCATACAGACGTTCTTATAAAAAATGACTATTGTCGTTGCATATTTATATACACAATAGAATATTTAATATTTTTTTGTTCTCGTTCGAATTCGAGCATTGCAGATATCCAATAGCTTCCGTGCAGTCATTTGCATCTTTTTACGCATTCATATCCGTGTTGCTCGTCCGCATTGATCTGTGTTGTCGGCAGCCTTTGAACCTTTTGTTGTATAATTACTATAAAATTATATATATATATATATATATATATATACGCATTTTCAAGCATTTGTGTGTTGATGTGCAAGTTATTACAAAAAAAAAACTTTTTTCAAACACTGTCGCCGTGTGACACTATTCATGACAATATACTCAATATTCAATACAGAATTACAGCAGGTTTGTACCATTAATTTGCTCTGTTATCCAGTAATACAATGCACACCTGATGGTTTGTATCTATATTTGTATATCATCTTTTATCGTTTTTCGACTTTGTTTCGACGTTTTTCGACGAGTTTGTGCTTTTGCTCTTCGTTGCTTGCACTTTTACAGTCAACGAAATATCGTTCTAAGCAAATATACATTTGATGTATCTAGTGATTTATTTAGCTTTATATGTTCTAGTGGTATATATATGCGCTGTGCATAGAAGAAAATATATACGGAACAAAAGATAAAGATATAATTATAGGATCATTAACTGTAGCGCGAATAAATAGCACAAAGCGCAAACTCACGCCGTATTTAATTAGCCAAAGTCATCATCTCAATAGAGATTTTAGTTTCTAGCCGCTTCATGTACCTTTTTACCACTCAAGTTCAGAGAAAAGGTCCGTTTTGATCAGAACCTGGAGATTCACTAAAATTAGTGTACTATAAACCAGTACAAGCATTGGATAAGCAAACTCATAGCTTCCTTTACATATATCATGACAAAAATAAAATAATGGATTCGAATATCGTTCAGGGCAAAGTGTAAGTTATCCTAATAAGCCAATTTTTGTTGAGACTATTGGAACAATGTCAAAATAGTGTTTCATATAGTATACAAATATTGCATGACAGTCTATCACACCTGAGTTGTAGCCGGATTTCAATTCAAGCAGCTGAATTTATGCAGCTCATGGTGCACAAGCCCCGCTGCCTTGGCTTGTGAGTATTCAATAATACATTCACTACTATGGATTCTACTAGAACAGATATTGAATTTAAGTCTGCTTCTAGCTGAACTTTTAGCCACAAATTTAATCATCGATTGTTTCATCGGGTCGTTTGAGCACGAAAAGATGCTGACACTTGTACTAGGCTTTTTAACATTTCATAGAAGCGATTATAGGTGATATTGGCACTGTAAATCATCGTCTATATTGATACAGCTTCGGACAGCTAATATAGTGAGTGCATACATGAAATATAGTTATTCTTCTGAGCTGTCCTGCGTCCCCAAATTCTGCATCTTTTTCTCACGCATATATGCTAAGCTGTAATTAGCTTCTTTTTCTGTCACTGTTGATGATGACAACCGCTTACGATTGGTGCTCGCCATTGTGTGAATTCGTCGGGGCTCTCTCATAAGCCTCGTACGAAGCTTCGTTGTAGACTTAATCTTCAGGCGGCCAGTGGCTGCGCAATTTCAAGATGTACCGCAACGGCTTGCAATGCCGGTGCTACGGCACTTCTTGCCATCACCAACCATACTATAGTTTAGCACTGAAGTCTTCTTTACATCTGTTTACTGATCAATAACACGGAGTTCAGTCAGTAAAGCGATCGTACTCTTAGCATACTCCTCAAGGTCTTCTTCAACTGATTGTGGACACTCCAACTGTATAAATACCTTTGAGTTGTCCTAGAAACATGAAAATAGATATAGACCTTTTTAGGAAAACGGTCCACGGAACAGAGTAACAGGCAGAAGTCTCAGCAGTTTTCCTATCAATACCAGCATGCGCTAATAATAACAGAATATTATTATTCTATGATTATAATAATAATACTCTATTATTATATTCAAAATTGCTCTTATCTATGTAAACTATGGCAGTGTGACCCAACCGCTTCAAAATGCGAGATCCATTTCTCACTGCCTCGTACCTCGCTGAAGAAGACTGAATTAACACGGCCTTGTGCACGATTCGGCGCGAGATCCTGAAGAACGGGGAACATCCTCGGAATCTCGATCGCCCTCTCCAGTATTACGGTGGCGCGTTCAGGTGAGTTCTCGGATGGCTGCTGTGAAGGATTTACCGCTTCCAACAGTCCGTCATCTTCAAGCACTACATGGCGAATAACGGTGCCCTTGTGTACAGCTATACAATATACAAAAATAGACAGGTTATAACAGCAGCTGACTGTAATATCATCGTTCGAGTGACACTCTAATAGCTTCATATCAACCACACCTTGTAATAATTGTGAGCATATCCTGCTGAAAAGCGAAACAATTTTCGCAAAAAACGTAGACACGCTTCAAAAGTTTATTGCATATTAACGCAGTCGTTGAAAGTTTAAATAGTTTCGCAAGTTTAGAGGTGTATTTTTATGGATGCCAATATACAGAAATATTTTTTTCTTTAATTAACCTTTGAGAAGTAAACGAGTTCTTTAAATTTCCACACCACTGGATGATCACTCTCGATCCACGTTTGTTTGCCAAAAAGAACAGAGGTTGTGCTACACACTGGTAAAATTTGATTACAAACGGATATAACCTCGAGTTCTTCGGTGAGATTGGGTAAGTTTGTATATTGAACGTTCTACGATTTTTCCAAATAGCAACAAACGTGCATTAGTTTTTGTGTAAAAATAAAACCAACCACATAGATACTCTGCGGATATTGCAAAATGCCTACATTAAGCAGAGCTCAAGTAAACTGGTAGTTCAAGCATTTCGAAGATGCGCAGGAGTCCGTCGATGACGATCCTCATTCTGGAAGGCCTGTGATAGTAATCACGGACGAGAACGTAAAAAAGATGAAGCAACTCGTGCTTACCAACAGTCGAATCACCATAGAAGAACTATAAGAGATACAAATCTCAATTAGCTCGCGTCAGGCCATTTTGATCGATCGTTTAAGTGTCAGATGGCTTGCGGCGGAGAAAAATAGCTAAATGCCCACCAAAGTAATAGTCGTGAATAACTGTGTCACAAGAACCTTACGCATTTGGGAGCTAAAATTGTTTTAACTTATCATTGTGGATGACTAAATATGGTTGCACAGCTACGGGTGTATTTTCCGTGTATAGATCCGAAAACGAATCGCGACCAAAAAAAGTTACACGATCCAACTCTAAAACTAAGACGTTTCTGACAAATCCTAGGTCCTTCAACATAGCAATGCACCGGCCCACACTTAGCTATTCGTACAGCAGTTTTTGTAAAAAACGCGATACATGTCTTGCAGTGACCTTCGGATTCGTCGGACCTAACCTCCTGCAACTCTCCTATCCCTAACACTAAGGAAAAGTCTGAAGGAAACGTGTTTCGACACAACAGGAGAAGTAAAATAAAAATCGCTAGCCGAGTTGAGGGTTGTCCCGATGATCGAATCTGAAAAATGTGTTGGGGAGCTCTAAGCTTATCGCATCCAACGGAAATTACTTCAGTATAGACAACTTAAATTAGGACTATTAAATGAGCACTTATCTGAAACAAGTAATTCATTTTTGAACACAAATTTATATGCACAAGTATTATTAACAATTGTTATACAATACACGATAAGGCGATATAGAAAGTAGTATTAAAGTGAAAAAAACAAACACTAACAGAGTGGCCGCTCGTCTAAATACTGAAGGTCCATCATGGGCTTCCAGATAACCCCTACAAACTGTGACCACCCATTCATCCCGAATGAAGCCAAAGTTTCCGCGGAAGCAGTCAGAAGTAGTTCTTCTACTTCTCTAACACGAACGCGGCCTTCGCGACGACAATGCGCCAGAGCGCTAAGTGCCGTCTCGTTTTCCTGGCTAGCCGGATCAAGACGCAGTTGTGCCAGACTGATCTTCACTTGGCGCAGCTCCGATGAGATGTTTGTCAGTCGGGCGCTGATCAATTTTTGAAGCGCCAAACTGTACAAGCTCGATTCAAGCGTGTTTACCTATGAAATTATACAGAGTATAGAGTTTTATCAATTGCTTCTAGAAGCTTGTTGTGTAGAAAACTATAGGGATAAACCTAAAAAGATTAAGATATTATTCTTAAAAAAAAATTGTAAAGAAGATCTTCAAAGACCAATAATTGATCAGTCATTTATCTCTCTTTAATAACCAATGAATAAAGAAAACCCTAATTTGGGGGCCTTTTGGTGGTAAAACCTCCATATGCACCATGGGTACAAGTAATTTAATATTCATAGAGTGTTGGAGTGTTGTTCATTGCCATGTGACCGTATTCATGGTAAATTAACGTGAAGTATACTAACCCTATTAGTTAGCTGAACGCATCGTTCACATTTGTCCGTAGAGTTCCCCCCGTTGATAGTGAGGTTCTTGACCCTCCGTTGTAGCTCTTTGGCTTTCGGTGATTCTTTTTTCGTTGAATCACTCCAGTCACCTGCCGAACTAAATACGTCCTCATTTTCACTCTGTACTGAAGGCGTTTTTTTTTTTTGGCCTTGACTTAGTAGAGCTTGTTGGACTGAGTCTCTGGAGTGGCCCCGAAGTGGCCGACCCTCTGGCCGTGCTAATTGATAATGTGTCGTTGAAAGTTCAGCTTGACCGGCAGATTCGACATCACAGTCCCAATCGGACAATCGTGCAGCTGCATTACTATTGGTACGATCGTTGGCCCAGGAAGTTATCTCCCGGTTATGTTGGCCTTTAGGGGATTTTCTTTGGTGTTGCTGACTGTAAGAGGTTACCGGCGCGACTGATTGTTCAGCTGACGTGCTCTGCATAGCATCCATACCATCGTCCCACTCCGTTGTAGTCCACTGTTTCACGTCGCGCCAACTAGTCTGAGGGTCTCGATTCTCACGCTGGTCATTCCAATCGGAGGCGAACTTCTTGGCAACTGTGTCGACTTGTTGCGCGGCCCAACGCTCAGTACTCGAATCCTCATTGCAGGCTTCAGCCGTTCCCCAACTATTTTTCGTCGCGAATGAGATCTGTTGCTGAAGTGGCTGGTCAACTGAGCAGGCATATAGGGGATCCTGCGCGAATATCTGGGTTCCGTTACCGCTGCCACTGGCTTCGTGGGGGTGTCGCGGTCTTGCGTCGGACCTTTGAGGACCAGACCCAGACTTGGTGATTGGTCTTTGTGGTCTTAAAGGAGGCCGGTCTTGTCGTTGTGGCCTATTATGAACGGTCTGTTGGCTTAGCGGGCGATCATATGGTTGCTGTTGATACCGTTGTTGGATTTCTTTTTTAAGAAGGCCTTTTTCAACCAACACCTCGAGCATATTAGCATTTTGCTGCTTGATCTCTGTGACAGAAATACGATCCCTTTGTTGTGGGCCGGTTCGCTCTTGGGTATAAGCTAGCTGGACGCTTTTATTCAACAATATGTCTTGTAACTCTTTTATGTTATCCTGCGATCCACTTTCAAGCGAGTGACCAGCGAATAGTACATCCATGCTTTTAACGCTCCAGTCTTTATAGAGCTGTGACAACGTGAGAATCTTGTCTCGTGTAGTGGTAGTAGTACCGCCATAATCAATGAGCTCAACGAGAAAACGTCCAGGCCCGTGACGGGATATCATGCGGCATCGTCTCCAATTTTCGCCATCTTTGTACGCGTAAATGCTATCTGGTTCCATGTCATCCACTCCGGGTTTGGAGAAATCTGCGTAACCGGCTAGACCATCGGTCAGCTTGTTGATATCGTTTTTCCATCCAGTTTCAAGGGCGACCACTTGTCCGCTATCGCTTATAGAGATGATTTCGAAAATACCGCGCATGCTTTCTTTTTCTCGGGTTTGGGTACGACTCCTACGAGGACTACTCCTGTAAACCCACAGAGAACAATGATCTTAAACCATCTATACAAACGCCTATAGTAATTCAATGTTCAGTTTCCAATATTAGGGTAACCACAATTGTCTGCTGTTATATTTGATAACAAACGTCACTAACATAAAGTTTAACAGGTAAATTTATATGTGATGCGGTCACCCTGCACCACTGAAATCTGGGTGAGCGTAGAATAGAAGTCTCAATAGGTAGCTACTTTACTCACAAAATGTTTACAGCTTTGAACAATGCATACAGCAGCTTTGAAACTGCTGTATGCATTATTAACAAAAAAAAAAAAAGAGAAAAAAGAAATACATTCTTCCAGGTAAACTTCGCTTGCCTTAAAAAGACATCGAAGGTGTCTTTGAATTGGTATGACACACGTAAATCTCCTTCGCAGCCACGTAATAACAGCACAGCCCTGCCAAACCGTACGTAACACAATACAAACCTACACATAGCAGCTCCTCCAAGTCAGGCTTCTTCCACGCAGAGTTATTAAGAGCGGCAATTTTTCTAGATATTGGATATAATAAAATGTTTGCATTATAAAGCGTTTCAAGTTCCTTTCAAATGTTTGTCGAAACAACTGTTGTTTCTTTTTAGTGTAAGTGCACTTACAGCATTGGCTATATCACAGCACACTGCGCATACTGACACGGATGAGCCCAATGTAATTACAATTAAGTTAGAATATAATGACTTACGAAACCAGAGACGCACATCACAGCCAAAAGAAAACTAACTTCAGTAGCTATTGTATTATTTTTTTGTTTTCACTAGATTTCCTAATTGCGAGCCATTTTTGAAAAGGACATCAGATTTGCATAGATCCACCTTGCAAAAGTGCTGACGGTGTTTAAAACAAAATTGAATTAGCTTATTTTTTCGTATTTTGAAAATGATGCTGTTAAACAAGATATATGACATTTTTATTCTTTACATTTCCTTGACAGATACATTGAATATTCTACGCTTTGTATGTTAATTAAATAATATTCCTTACTTTACGGCTTTGTTGTTGTTATTCGGGCCGTTATGCCCATAATTTCTGTTCGAGCAGTCTTGAACGAGGGATTGATGTACTGCACCATCGCAGCTGTTGCTATCTCCGGTCATCTTGATGCCTTATTTTCTGGTTTAGTTGATTGTAACTAGAGATCCCTTAAGGTGAGTCTTCTTGGTTGTGATAACAGTTGTCCGGATCTACGCAAATAAGCGATCTGTAAAAACGAGAGGGTACATTCTAAATTCAGTTTGGCAATGAGTAAACATTGCTAGGTAGCTCTCGATAATTTCTTAACACCGAGGGTTTGACAATGAGCAAGCATGCATACACTGCTTGAATCAAGTGCTAATAATGATCACATATGTGTTTAGAAAATGGCGTTACCCATAAGTCAAAGCTGAGAGAATATCGCTACTTTGCTGTCACTAAGTTACGACAGAGCGTCCGAGGATTTCTACTGTTGGTCCTCCTGCTATCTTTTAGACCACACTTTTAATGATTATTTGTTTGTGAACTTTATTTTGCTTAACAACTGATTGTTTGCATACATATCAAGAGTGTTCGGTGATGAAGAATCGCTTCCTGCAGCTAAGTCCTAGGTCATTGCATACTAATAATATCAAGAATATTACCAGCTGCGTACGCATTTCAAAACGTTATATTTATTATGTACTATTGAGCATAGTATAGACCAGGTTGACTTGCCATCAACGCGTAGGCTGTCAGAGTGCCTATGTGATGTTTACGTCCAGCCAACATTTCATTAAGCAGCACCGTTGTTTTAGCATAATCATCTCCCAGCTCTCCATCAATAGCGGATTTACTGAGTAAAATCTTCTAATAGTTTTTCAGTGCGGAAGACACAGTATCCCTTAACACCGGCGCAATTCCAGCCAGCGATTGGAGAGAGACAGTAGCTTTTTTCGTCTAATCCGATCCGTGCGACTGCAAGCCGAGAGATCGTCATCACCGACAGCAAAATTTAATCCGGTAATGTCATCTGCGTATTTAGGTAAGAGCCGGTCTCTTATTTGGTTATCTGTTCGTATACAGTTTGATGTAGAGAAACTGAAGTGGCCATTGCAACTAGTCGTACACTTCGAGTACATGCTGTAGAGCGATGAATGGGTGGACAAATATTTTTCATTCGTTTTTAAGATAAATACAACTTGAATTCCAACAGATATCAGCACCAGTTATTGATGAATGTTTATGCCAAAGACTCTGTATATAGTTGAACCTTTAACTGTCTCCGGTGTAATAAGTGTCAATTTATATAATGCTGTATGTACGTGTTGATGTTATGACAAGTACAAAGCTTTTTGTTGTTGTCATTAAACAGCACCTTGAAAACCTTAAAAATTTTAAGCGCACTTACATTAATTTTTTCTCAGCCGATCATACATTGACTACTTAATAATAAAGTCGTTAATTTATCTTTCCTTTCACTCAAGTAAACCGCACACAGGGTAGATACTCGGCAGAAAATGTTACAAGGACTCTAGGCAATCGCTGGCGCTTCTAAAACGCCAGCGATATTCCGAAACTAGAGAATTTGGGATCTCATATAATGGCAGTCTACTACAGCGCGATGTCGACCAGAAGGTATAAATGTAACTTACGCGTTCTTTACTTCTTGTTCACCAACCGCAGCGGAGATCGCGCGTGTAGCGTCGTCGGCTGTAAAAACCTCAACGGCGGGACACAATGCATGCAAGGACTTTTCAACGAGTAACCCAAAGAGCATCAGATATGACTCTTTACAAGCACTGAGCACGATCACGATGGAGGCCTATCAGAAGGCCAGCGTCACCTTTTTACTGACTCTAGCGGTACCTGGTTTTCATTGATTTTATGATCGGACCAGTTGTTGGTGGCGAACTCAGCGGACACCGAAAGCCACTGACCGTATAGACGTGCGGAACTAACCATGAGAAAATCATTAGTAATTAACGGGAATGACAACATCACATAGTAGTTTATTGTTCGAAGAGAGCAAAGACAGTGTTATGAATGCCAACAGTACCATGTGCATAAAGCATACAAATCACACGCAAATGTCGCTAATTGTAAACAAACAAACCAGGCGCTTTTGTTTACGCGCATCGACTAGAGCGACGCCAAGCGGTACAGTTTACTCCATTAGTTTTATAGACCAGACAAACCGGTTATTTTTGCCATTTAGAGATGGATGGTGGGCTAGGCCGTTTTACGTTAAACTGGCTAGCTGCTTCTCACTGTAGCTTTACAAAACGTAGATAATAGTACATCTTACTCTGGTGGTCTTAAGACTATGCAGTTTCTATTTAATATGTGCGTGACATATGTTGCTTATTATTTGATGACTACAGAAAGTGCAATTTTAATTTATTAACTATTTTTGCTGACCGGTTCAGTTATCCTGAATAGCATATATCTTACAACAGGCGAATGTGGCTTAATAAAATAAGGTAATGATACGGTATGGCATTGTTGTCATTTCTACTCACGTGAATCAAGCATTTGATGCAAGCGAAGCTGTAGCAGCTGCGTCTCGAAAAGTTTGAGATACTGATAGGGCAATGCTAATTTTAATTTTTAACGATTTATGTATATATATATATATATATATTGGACACATTTACTCTCTATGAATTAACAGTTATGTGAAAGATCATCTCTATCATAGACCTCTCTGTTAACATGGTTTCATTTGATTTTACTCAGATTAATGATTTATATAACGACTAACTTAAAACTTTGATTTCTAATTTTTAGACGTTTTTATTTAATGGTCTACATGCTATTAGTATTGCACTATGGAAAAGCACCATGGAATCTCTGGCAATTTTTGTATCGATGCTTATTAAAATTAATGCGCATTGCTTGTAGCCCGTTTTGTAAGAATGAGATCACTCCAGCACTGACCGTAACGACTTAACAACATATAATATTATAAAAGAAGAAATATCATTCATTTGCCGAAATAATGCAAAGTATAGGTCCGGGGCTTAGTCCCCTTTTCTAACAAAATGACAAATTACCTTTTTACGAAAGAAGAAAATCCACCAACGTAGAACAAGATTGCCCATTCATGTTGTCCGCTTTCATTCATCCAGAATAGGTTCGGCAATTTATTCAGCTGCATTTAAAAATCAGTCCAATTTAAAGGGCATTTACGTTAACGGCGAATGATTCATTTGGACCATGTAAAAAGCAAACAATTTTTAGTCCTTTCAAGAAAATGGCAGATTTCACGGTAACGAAAGACGTCAGTTCTCAAACTTAAATTGGCCATCATAAAGGCTGCGCATAGTGGCATTGTTGGCAGGTGTTGTGAGATGAAAAAGCTTTTTTCTTTTTTATTCGACATATTCAGAGATAAAAGATAAATGGACTACATAGTTTCACAATAGCTCTATAGACTGGCTTTCATTTGGAAGATCTAAAGGGTATAACAAGCTACCATAAGCATAAAGCAGACCTGTAAATGTCTGTCTGTTAATCTCTCTGATTGCTGGTAAGTGCGACGGATCAGTTCCGGTTTCGAAAGCTTTTTTTGATTTAATATTAGTTGCTCTACTATAAAAAGAGAAAAAGTACATTATCCACAAGCATCACATTCCTATATATATATCGGCGCTAATGCTTACCACGAACTATTGCACTTCTCCCTTAAAGCATAACTGTTGCTTAATTAACTACGTGAAAACCTAGCGACCAAGGCGCCTCGCTCTTGATAAGCACTATAAAATAGGTGAATGATTAAAAAAAATTCAATGTATACATATATATTTGAGTTACCTGACACTAGAACTCCATTGTTGCACACGACACTTTGCACGCCGACAAAAATGCTCAGCATACATTAGCAGACAAAAAATGTAAATAGTAAGGCAATAATGATATACCAAATGTCAAATAAAATTTAAAACAAGCCTCTATCATACACGTCATCAGCGAGCGCTATCGCCGTGTTAGTTCACAATGAGCTACTGAAATACAAGCATAGATAGTCGTAAATGTACATTCGTGCAGTATCGCGAACAGATATGACGCATGAGTTGTTGCTATAGCCTGTTGCTACGTGCCTTCGTCCAGTTACGAGAAACGAGGCTGTGAACACTGAGTGGTAGATCATTTCGCGCAAGTTTAATGATTCGAGCCGCTACTCACGAACGCAAGACACGCCATGAAGACCACTTTTCAACCTCTGTTTTCTTAGGTATTCATTGCAATTATTTTGTTCACAGCAATAACAACAGCGAAGGTGATAACATTGTTTACGCAGGCAATAACACTTTTTTACTGACCGCCGATCACAGTCACATCACTAGGCAGTGCAATCTCTCCTTGCCATCTCGAGTTTGACTTTCTCAAATGTATTGTATTTCTTGGCTGCAATGATACGGACAGGAGTAAGGACACAGGATTACGAAATACTCGAGTGCAAAATCACAGCATCATTAACTTGTCAAACAATGGAGGCACAAGCAGCATGCTTACCGAACAAACATCCAACGCCTTACATCGAACATCGACCGTGTTCGTGACAGTGGAAGCCCGCTTGTTTCTCTTTTAGTTGCTGTTGTTATAGCCTAGCTCGTTCGTAAATTCAGGACGCGATTTGAGAGACGAATCGTTTCATTGTCCTTCGACTTCGAAACGAAAGATTGCTCTAGCACTAGAGACCTCTTAAATGGCAGGAATCTGCTTGGGTAACAAAGCCGATAGCCGGTGATCGTTGCGGAGCACACCACAGACACATTTCACAAATAACACCAAAACACGAACAAAACTAGTGAGCATTTATATCAGGATAACTAGGAGGCCAACGGGCAAATAGCAGTTCAACCAGCCACGAGCGTTAGACAAATGCAACCAAAGGCACTAATCACGGGCCTATGAACGTGTCCCGATTTATTTTGTTGATGTGGTAGGTGTCGCTGCCGCAGTTATAATCGCTACCTATGTAGCACTTCATTGGTTTACCGTGTTGATGGTATCATCGACCTCACCGCTTTCTCCCAAAGAAACGGAGGCTATAAGGCAGCACAAAATGCTGCTGCATCACTCACGCTCGAAGTCCAGCGGAAAGATAGCGAGTGACTAAACGAGAACTACAACAGGCGCATCTATTGGAAGATGCGTATGAAAAAAGAAAATTCTAAATAATGTCCTAATTGCAATTGTGAGATTACGACTGGTGAGTCGTCATGGAAACTTCTTTTTAAGAAATAAATGAACGTTTTTATCAGTAGTGCGAAAACAGCTCTAGAATTTGAGGTCGACATTTATTGACAAGTGGCGAGTCTGTAGATTGTGGATTTCTCTAAACTAAGAGTTTAATTATTGGCTCTGTTTTGAGTTTCTCTACTTTCCTCTAAAAATTCACTGAACGAATTGATTTCCGCGTCGTTCTCTACTTGTTTCGGTTTTTTTCGATTGAGACCGAAAACAAGCTTCTAGATACTGTTGCGAGTGTATATATGATGCCTTTATCTCAGCTTCTGTCGATAGCGGATCTCTCACTCTTTAAACTCTCCATTCAACTTTCGCGTGTTTTGCTGTAGACTTGTTTTTATAAGCAAAAACAGGGTATCTATTTTCAAAAGAAAGACATTGGTCCTGAAATACAATGCAGCAAATGCTTCGCTAAAATACCAGCACGGAAGCACTGTTAGTTTGTCGAAATACAGACCTTACATAGGAACTAGTTTCTTGTGCGCATTAAAAATTTTTGAAAAATCCTTAACTCTTTAACTGAGCGCCGCGGCATAATATGATACTCGTCTAGCAAGGTTTATACATATAGTTTCTTGTTAGCTAAAAAAACTTTGCATTTGATTACCGTGTGGTTAAAACGTTTAGAAATATGTCTTAAATATATATATATATATATATATGATTTTCACTTGATCCTGATACAATCGCATTGTCTGCCACTGAAAAACAGATTCACTGAATAAAATAGGTATTCTTTTTGGCGGCTATTTCAAGGTATGACCTTATGAAGGTAGGGAAAGCCCATTTTAAAACGATGTTCGATATAGTGTACTTTCAAGGGCAACAAATTGGTTATGTTTAAAGTGTGTCGTCAGAAAGTAGTCTGCAATTCAATCAGAGGTAATCGCTAGTAAAAGAATTGATGTGCGATGATGACAGACGAATACCATCAAAGGTTATAGAGCTCTGTGTCTATGAAAAATTGAGTGCTGAGTCATATCTTTAACTCAAGTATTTAGGCAACGTCGTTGTAATAACAACTTACATTTAACTAAATAAATTACTAACTTAACATGAAATGACATTAAGTTATTGTTAATGACGGTTTGAAGTTTTGAAACAAATACAATAGTCTGCTTACAAATTCTTGCGTTTGACCTTTTGAAAAATAATAATAATAGACACTACAAGGCTTTTAGTAGCTTAATAGATCAGTTAAGACGAGGTTTGCTTTCGACGACCCTGAGTGCTGTCAATATAATACACTACACCATCGAACTATGCCTTCTTTACCTTTGATGGTAAATCAACAGGTCCATCAATCCTAGAAAAACAACATGCGTGGCGTTAAGTACCCCTCATTCGAAACTGTCGGTAAACTTCTACTCAGATTATCATAAGATGCTCGATCAATGTATTTAGTATATATAGCAGAAAACGTCTAATTGAGTTCTGTTTTCACCTATTGAATATACAGGTGTTCCATATACTCCTACTTACTGCAGGTGTATGTATTAATGTAAGGAAGGCTGTTATAGGATGGCATTTAAAGAACCGCTCTACTTGCCAACGCCGAGTGACAAAGACAATAAATCGCAAGGATCACAGCAACCGCTAGAATTAAATATATGTTGTATCTTGTGTGAAAATACGTATTCAACAACAAACCATCAAAACCTTTTGAAACATCTGTTGGAAGTGCACAGCTTTGTGATTGAAGATGCACTGGCAATTGCTGATTTGGCTGCGTATTGCAGGTCAGTTTTTTACCGGCGGAGACTGTTTTATATGTGTCAACTGTCTGTTTGAAACATAACGGGTAATACATTCCTACAGATCTCGTGAAAATAACGGAGAAGCTATATGCCATAACTGACCGTAATGGAACTCATTTCTTTGTATGCAACATCATTCCACAACATTATTTTATTTAAGTAGTATGACATTCGCTAATTTGTGCTGCTCTAAAGTATACTTCGTAGATATATTCGTGTTCTTCGTATACAAAGAGTACGCGTACACGGTGTGATGATAACAGTTTTGAGAAATGTCTTAATAATAAAAACAGCACACGAGATTATAAGTACAATACAGTCAATCCAAATGAATGATCTTCTGAAATGTTTTCAGATATTGGAAGCAGCGACTGATGACAACTGAGCTGAGCTGGATCTGTGCCACGATTTATACAACAGAAAATAAAAAGTTCTTCATGCTCACCAAAGCGCTTCCTGAGGACGTTAAGCTACGTGACGATCTACGAAGAAAACGCCAGGAAGAGATTCTTAAACCACTGCTCGAGCAGAAACAGACAGAACGTGCGGACGAGTCGAAGGTTCGCAATTGCCTCTTTTGTAAAAAAACGTTTCAGGGAAAGCCCCACGAACTCTTTCAACATATGTATATTAACCACAATTTCAACGTTGGTCGCGCTGACAATCTCGTTCACATCGACGAATTTCTATCACTACTTCAGGACAAACTGAATCGGCTTATATGTCTTTATTGTGAAAAGACGTTTAAAAACTGGGACGTCCTCAAGGAGCACATGCGCAAGAAACAGCATAAACATTTGAATCCAAATAACAAGACATATGATCGATTCTATATTGTTAGTTATCTCTTCGGTGAAGCGGATGGTTTAAGTGGCACTGTAGATTGTAGTGCCGGGAGGCGCTATGATCTCGGTGATCGGGACGCGGACCTCAATGATGACGAACATCTCGATCGCTTTGAGGATTGGAACGAGGAACAGCGGTTTGACTTAATTTGCCTCTTCTGCGATCATTATGAAATACAATGGGACGATGCGTTTGCTCATATGAAGGAGAAGCACGCTTTCGACTTTGGCAATGTCCGTACAGGGCTGGGATTTTATGATCAAGTGAAACTTATCAATTATATCCGACGACAAACACATATCAATGTTTGCTATTTATGCAAAGCTGCACATGAGTCTCGGGCTGATCTTCTCAAGCATCTTGATACGACACACGCAGACGGAGGCACGCCGGCCAAATCTTTATGGGATCAACCGGGATACTTCTTTCCGACGTATGAAAACGACCAGCTCCTGTTGGCTCTGGAAGATAACCAGGATGAAGCGAACGAGGAATGGGTCGTACCAGAAGATACAGTACAGCCTAATACGAAGTTACTGGAACAGCTGTCGTTAGAACAGGCTGAGGAGGATGGAAAAGGAGACCCATGACCTGTTTAGAGTGAGTTAGACTAATCGGAGAAAAAAGTAGCTGACTGTGATAAACTTTTTAGAAGAATCTTCATTCGACGTGTTTGCATCGTTTCTTAGGAATTCGGTATGAATTTTTTTAAGAGTTTTTTTTGTGTTCTCACAGCGATATGGGGTAGTTAGGTCGCGTTCCAATTTGTACGGTTTAAGTGACTCTTTGTTTAATGGCTACTACCTTTTGCTTTATAGTTTTTATGGTTCAGTCAAGAAGCTTTACAGAAGGTGATCCAAATTTTCAGTTAAAAAGCTTAATGGAGAGCAATGCATACATAAATTCTAGCATTCTGTATTAGTTCTAACTATTATTTCCAATAGCGCTCACAAGTATTTTGCAAGCTGAAGTAACGTACAATAATAGTTATTATTGACCAAAGATTTTTTTGTCGATTTGTTGAAAAATTGTAAAATAATTGAAGTAAAATCTGGCTAGGTTTATCATTTGCGGCGTTGACTCCAATGAGGTCGGAATAGACATGGATTAAATGAGAACAGCACGGTAACCATTTCTGATTAAAATGAAAACACCGAACATATTATCAACAGTCACACAACACTTTTTATTTCATTAAATAACTACCAACAAACCTGCAAAGCGGCCATCCATCATGGGCCGCCCCGAGTGTTAAATATATATATATATATATACTCTTTATTGTCTTATTACTAATATTGTTTTAATACTTTGCTTTATTATGTGTTCTAACGGCATGCTATACTTTAATCGTCTGCCACATCTCTGTTTCAGGGAATCTGAGAAGTTTCATCAAGGTTTTTCTATATAAAGTATGCGTTATCAGAGAAGAATACAAAAACGAACATTTTAAATTTCTATTAAAAAAATAGAAAAGCTACCTATAGCGTCGAGTACATACCTCGAGGTCGTTTTTTTCTCTCTCTCTCTCTCTCTCTGTTTCAGAGGAATTCTCGAGTTTTTGTAGGTTTGTAGGTTCTAACTGTTAGTCTTTAAGAAGAAAGCCAAGCATAGAATACCATCAACACAGAACACATTTCGTTTGCTCTCAACATATATATAAGACAGATATAAGTAGGTTAATTTCAGTGAGCGTAATTTTTTGTTGTTCATTTCACGCTGCGTTTCAGTAAAAATGTTATGTATATAGACGATTATATCTAGGAACGCAAGGAGTTTTGGAGACGATCTCGGGAAATAAAAAAGCAGTGGCACTTAACGGAAGTCCAATTACCTGTATTTGTTCGTTGGCTGTGGAGTCAGTTTGCTTAATAGGAGAATCACATAATATTCATTTTGCCCTATTCTGCTTTTTATGTACATAGTGCATGATGAAACGATCATAGAGCTTAAATTGTATGCCCCAGTAACGGTCGTTGATAATCATCGGTACGGCTATGGTTCGTTTGATAAAGATTCATACGAAAAGCACCAGATTGCACGTACAGCTATTAGCCGCACCAGAACAACGATTATATGAGGAAATGTTCGGTAGTTTGTTCAACTGATCCCACTATAATGTGGCAAAACTTTATGAATCGAAATCAATGAACGTATGGCCATTATAGGTTCAGTTTACATCAAAACTTTACTGGTACCAAGCAAACGGCCTAAATCCTTCGTTCAGGTGTAGGAGTGCTGCACTGTCTTGTGAGCCTTGGCGCAATGCATGTGCACAATTGAGCCGTCTGGATAACGGACAAACGATGGGGTTAACAGCGGTCGATTGCACGCATTACAAACTCTGCAAATTTTAACAGCACAGCCAAACGCAGAGAAAAAAACAGAATAAAGTTGTTTCATATCGTACCACCCAAAGCATAACCAGACCATGCTATAGTAGTACATTTAATATCTTTTAACTAGGTGTCAATTTACCTAGATTAGTAATACTATAAGATATAGTTACCAAACGTAAGACCGCATAATTGATTAACTAAAGGGAACATATAGTAAAATAAGCCATTGCACTACAGACATTACCTGTTTTCTCTGACTAGAAAATGCGTCGATTGTGTTTGGATTCTCTTTTGGTGTGCGCGCATATTCTCCAGTTTGGTGAGGGCTACCCGAATATGAAGCATTCCCAGTCGATGATGAGCGTTGCGCAAACCTCGTATTACAAAGTCTGCTAACGACGTGACCTGCCAATCGATGGGCACTATCCGCAAGACTTCGTCCACATTGAATTCCGCCTCGTCGTCATTCAGCAGCGCCACTGCCTCCTTCAGATACAGAGGCGCGCTATCACTGAAAAAGCAACAAAGAAAAATATAAATACATTGAAAGAGCGAAGCAGGGTAGAATGGAGTCACGTTATCGACGTATTTCTGCTGGGAATCTTAGCTGTACGCTTTCAGCTGGCCGTTTTACAAACACATTGGTGCGCGCAGTGCTCTTCCTTAAAAAATCCCTCATTTGCTTTAGTGTGTTTTTTATTTTCCTGTATTATTTATTGCCTTAATACCGCTTAACGCCTTATTTATATACAACAGCAGTGGTTCACTCTAGCGATTGACTACTAACAAATTCAAAAACCAAACTGACGATTAAAAGCCGGCATACTAGAAATTAGAATTATTTCTCTAACTCTAATCATAATTATGCCTTGAATTCGGCCAAACGCGTTCTTCGAATTTTACGTGCGCATTAATCAGTTACTTACCAGTTAGGGGGTGGATTCATAAGAATACTGAGCAAAGTCCCGTAGACACCGCATTTCAGGTCGTGGTCGAGACGGATATTGCTTATACGATGGCAAAATTCCTTCGCCGCAGCGAAGTCGCCAAGTTCGTGAACGTAAACCTTTAATGTTTCTTCATGTCGATCCAGGCGTTCATACAGTATTGCTCGTTCCAAGTGCAGTGCATTGGCTGTGCAGAGATCGAGCAGCTTATCTGGTTGGTAGAAAGCAGACATACGCAGAAACGTTTGCAGTTTGCGTCGATAATCACGTGGTGTTGTTCTACCGTTCTTCGAAGACTCAAGCACGTATGATAAATAGATGGTCGCCAGTTGGGTATGGTAAGCTGGGTCGGTGGTTCGTCGATCAAGAACAAGATGCTCGAGATACTCCATCGTTGCTACAGGATAATTCAGCAATGTGGACAACACTGTTTCGTCGTCGATGGCTTGGGAACGCTCAACAAACACCTAATAAACGAAAAAATTGAAGCAAAATACGATAATTTTATATTGTAGGGACCAGGAAAATATACAACATCTAGTTGTTGGTTTTGATGCAATTAGGGTATAAGAGTTCAGCCCGTTTGCCGATCTCTTGCCAGTCTGCTAAGGGCTAATCAGTTACATACGTCAATGTCTGACAGCAGCTTACGCTTGAGCCTCAATTAGCTGATAACGTTTGAAAGTAACACGTGTATAACCTATCTCACTAAGCCAAACGTACATTTTAGCAAGATATTGCTGTCCGAAGCATGTTCGACAGCATAAGATACCAATACGTGAGGAAATCAAACGAAACATGAACGAATTAGAGCAAGGATTCCCTTTATGATTTCCCCTGAGATGCTTACCCTGACTCCGCTTGACTGGTTGCTATCTAATATGCATTTGACGAAACGAATCACTAATGACGTGTCCTCTTCCCGTTTTAACATGTCCACCATTAGGCCAATGGGGTTTTCAAGAGTCGCATCACTCAAGCGGCCATCTACAAGTCGCTCCCAAATTTCAAGGGCGCGTTCACGAAGGCCCTGTTATGCACCGAAAATTCAATCACCATTAAAATTGATCAATTAGAAATCTTGCAACTGTTTAATTGTGCTTTATGGAAGAGAGTTGAAGACATGCAAATGTTGTCGTGCCCTATTTCGTATTATTTATTACCAATATGATAGTCTTTCTACAGTTGAAGGCTTCGTACCTGCGAATAGTACAGCAATGCTTTATAGTGATGTTTGCCGAGTCTGTCAGCCAGAAAATCGGCGCACTCCTGAATGTCGCACACTGTGTCCTGTGCCTCAATCATTTCCAGGAGTTTCGCGGTTAGAATGTCGCTGTCTTCGGCAGCTTGCGATCGCAACGCGTATAGTTTTACCAACGCTGTATCAACGGCTTGCCGCTGTTCGGCTGGGACCGAGTACCGGTTCGTCTCCAAGTATGAAGTGAGAAACTGATAGGCGTTCTTGCGCATTTCCGGATTACCACCGCAAACAGATTCCAGCGTCGGTGTATTGAATGAGTCCTTGACGAAATACTTTTCCGATGCAACGACGGAAAATAGAGAAATCACAGCACGAGTGTCGGCGCGGCCTTCTTCCAAATGTTGGCCAGCTTCAGAGAAGTTCAATTCGGAAAGTTGAATAAAGCCAGCTTGTTGTTTTACCTGAGCGATAATCTGTACAGAACAGAATGTAACCAAGCTTATGAGCAACTAGTTGCCATGTAAAGTAACATTGTTGATTGAATGAATAATTATGGGATCGTGGAAAAAATTAACGCTGCAACATGTCCAGTGTAGCCGATTACGTAATAATGGTAACGCATAAGCAGCTGCTCTGCGCAGTGCTCTCGGTGTAGCTCACTTTATATGAGCGTCTACTATTCATTTTAAGCGATCTTGAGGATGAGTTGCAAAAACCTCTACTCTTGTATAAACTGGAATTAGGCGTTCTCTAGCAAAGCCACTCTCGCCGGTACCTATCAAATAAATAACAACACAGTATTAATGATTACAACGGTTGAATGAGGGTTAACGTACGTCTTTTTGCTCCTGCGGTGTCAGATTGGCTTTGTGCGTGGATTTAGCAATTTCAAGAGCTTCGGACACTTTTTTCTGCTTGAGTAGGTCGGTAACCTGCTTGTCCCAAGGCACCGGATGTAAAGTGAAAACAATGTCTTGAGTGCAGAGCAAAAGAATCCCTTCAAAATTGTCTAGGCACGCTCCACCTGGAAAACTGATCTTTTGTTTGGGTTCCCGATCGAAGATACTGCAACAATTAAAATGATTGTGGCATAGTTAATCTTAAAATTAAGATATTTCAGGTGCATGATACAATACGAAGATAGTTATGTTTTAGTTTTGCAACCTACGGGACTAGGTCTTTGAAGAAAAGGATGACGTTAATAAAATAAGATCTCTGACTGAAAGGCACTGGACCTTCACCACTGGGATTCACTACCCCATATGTGTCAAGTAACAAAAAAAAATTATAGAATAAAAGTATTTTACTTTGTATAAATCAGCAGCAATATATAACTAGAAAACAGTGCGTTCTATATTACTTGCTTACGTCATATTTTAAAAAAAATTCTACCCAACTACTATTATAGCACCCCACTAACAGAATTAAAGATTTAAATACAAATCAAAGACATGTCACCCACCTGTAGATAATAATAGTGTCCTCATTAATACATAGAACATACGGATGATGGTAAGAACAGCTGCTAACACCCTCTCCGAGCGGTATAGGGGGTTTAGTTGCTGCGCCCGCCCCTGACACGAATATGCCTAAATTCGATGGTCCCGTTACGAGAAATTCGCACCCCTGAACGAGTTTGATGAGAGGCGGTGACAGTTCGGATGAATAGGCCGCCACTTCCTGATGACTCCCCAGAGACACGTTCAACAGGTAGTAATGCGTTGACGTTGCGTAACAAATCGCATCCCCTACCATCGCCTGCGGTAGTAAATACTGCTTAGTCGAAATGTATACGACGTATTAATTAGCTAATTATTTTTCCGTGTTTTAGTTTTGTTATGCAAAGAAGCAAAGCTAGATTTTCTTGTCTAATACGAATCTATCTAGGAAAACCATAATATGGTAAAAAGTGTGATATATTTAGGTGATAACACAAACTCTTTCCATTAGCGTTCATAATTTTCATAAGTGTTTCCATTCCTGCCTGTCGTTTCGCGCTTTTAGCGGCTCCACCCTTCAGTCATCGTGGAACCACTGGCTCCTTAGTATAACCGGGTGTGGCGTACCTTCCCAACGTACTGTAGACTACGTATAGAATATGGAGTGGGAGAGTACTGCTTAATCAGCCGCGAAGCATCGTCGAATAGCGAAACGAAATATAATCATATTTTTACGAGAAGTATAATAAATGCTGAATAAATAATTAAAGTACAGGGGCAAAAGGCGCAGAGATAATTGTTCTGAATGGTTATCTGTCTTGGGTGAATAATCATATTTGTGACTTACCACAAAACGCAGAGCGGGACAAAATCTGCAAATGACATTATTTTAACCATATTGCGTTAGGAACTACGCATGACAAATGTAGTTAACGATCTTCATACTAACAATTGCTATGGGATTTTCCTTAACGCTAAAGTCCTTGTGATGGGTGAGTTTCTCTTCTGATAGCCTGTACAATTGTAACTGCTTTTTTTTGGCCACGCAAAGATAAGCCGAAAGGGCGGTCGAATGTGTATCGACCTGGCCGCTTGCCGAAGACCCTAGCTGGCCTGGTGATGGGCTGGGGTTGAGGCACATCGTTGTCAGGCCGCGCAGGCGTTCCTTAGTCGGCTAAATAATGACAATAATCGATAAAAAAAGTCAGTAAGTTAAGCGAATAGTTTGTGATGATGATTTGAAGATGCGGTTTCTTTTACACCGTTAAAGCTTTAGAATTTACCGCAGTCGATTAAGTTACAGATATAACAGGCTATTTACGAAAGCTCTTCAGTACACGTAAATTGTTTTATATTTATTCTTTGCTACCAATACAGTAGATCATTGTTTGACGTTAAAATGACACAGTGAATAGTTTGTTGACTTTGAAATACATAGATAAATGTCCAAACAATAAGTAGTATAAATTAGTGAGAACCGAAACGATGTTTTACAAATGCACAATAGAATGCTATCGATTTGACTAAGAGGCGGCAAAGGATTTCTCCTTTTACATTGGATACGAACCTCAAGATGCCACATATCGTGAACCGATAGAACGCCTTCGCTGTTTAATATCACAAGCCGGTTGAGTGCGGATAGAGCTTTGATCTGGATGATGGCTTTGCCAGGTGACGTCGGGTAAGAGGCAATTTGCTTGTCGACCGTTGGTAACCTAGCATCAAATCCAACGTCTTGGAACACCATTGAGTAACGACATATTGTCCTGTTTCGTTCACGAGTTATACAACAAAATAATAGAACGTATATGAATGCAGCAATGGACGCTCTTTTTGAATTATTCCAGCTTTAACAATTGAACTCTTGTTGGACTAGGGAAGCCCTTCACCCTCGACTCTAGTAGTAGTTTGTAAAACGACGGTTAGAGTTTCAGAATTTCACTTTTGGCACCTTTTAGTTGTATTAGTCTGTCTTCATTCAATGGAAATTTGAATAAATAGGATAGCCAAGCACGGTGCACAAGTGTAGATGACTTGAACTGAAATCTATTTAGATGCAGTTTTTATATATCGATATAGTCTTTCTTGGCAATGAATTGGTAAAGGCAGCAAGCTAACGTAAGTTAGCTTGCTGCCTTTATCAATATCAAGCTCAAAGCATGTTCGGAACTGTAAACTCAAGACCTGTCTCCCTTCTTTTTCCAAAGAAATGTTTATATTGTTCCAGTCTCACTGATTTTTCCTTACTTACGTTTTTCACGTACATACGTTAAATTTATGTTTCGCGTCAGTTAAATATATCATTCATTTTCGACCGACAACTTGCTACAGATTTATTCAGCACTGTCTCCGAAGCATAATTTCCGAATAAGACATTTCTTGACGTATTTATATAAAACCGAATACTTACCCGTTCGTAGCTCCTACAAATAGATTTGGCCCGCATAGATCTAGGCTGCTGATCTAAAATGAAATATATACAGCAACGCAGAAAAGAATGACCGTCCGTTATAGGATGCACAATTATGTGTTAACTACAATCGATAGAGGCTCCGTTAAATCAATCAAGCTCGACCTCACCCGCTAGCACACGAATTTATAGCTTGCGGAGCTCTAATTGGTCGCATAGCTTGAAAACGGCACGCACATTGGGTGTCGTCATCCTCGTTTACATTTAGAATGCCGTACTCTATTGTATCAAACATTATACCCAAGATTTTTTTATAATCTCTTTCTGAAACTTTAATGTAATGTGCAACCCAGTGTAATTAATCATTGCTATACGACAATTATTTCAAATCGGTCAGAACAATTTTTTGTAGATGTTAAGTTAAGCGACTAATTGCTAACATATTGCTAGAAACGAACTTTGAATTGTTGTTATCACCTTTGGTACCATTATGTTTATATCATGACCAATCTTGAAGCTTCCGTGCAACATATAACACTCAACGTTTATAGACTCAATGAGTCCATCAGCTTACCAACAAAGATCGGCCCTCGACGCCCCTGAGGGTATCCGAGACTGGAATAAGGTCGAACGCCTTCAGGCTCATCTTTCGTGATCACGATCTCCACGACTCTCTGTTAGATTAACCCTCTACAATTAGTTGTTCGTTCGCAACTCTTGTAACGTCACCGCTTCCCTACAAACGCAGCACACCCGCACTCGACGTCCCCGTCGGCAGTCCTTCGCCGAAGAAAATAAAAACCACTTCCATAGCTCTACGGTAGCAAAGGACCCGTCACTGTACTTTACAGCTGTGTCGTCACACCGTTTGGTTCGTTCTGTCCTCTCGATTGCCTCCTCCCACCGTAGGCAAACGCCGTATGCTCGTAGAGAAATCCGCAGTCACTGTTGATGAAAAAAGCAACTAAACATAAACCTCCACAATATTGTACTCTCTGCCGCAAGCGATCGGCCGCGATCTTCAGCAACGGCAAACATCAACAACTTCCACCTTTCTGCTTTCCCTTACGAATTTCTCATTTCATAAGCTCGACTCAACAGGCTACTAACAGCAGCACTCCTATCCGCGGTCATCTCTTTTTTGTCTAATCGGTGTATTTATAAATCGGTATTTTTAGCGATATCGCGCAACAGCGGAATGTAATTTACAAAAGGCCGCGGTGGCACAGTCTCCCTCCTTTCGATTTCTCAATTGAACACTTTTACTGAACGCGATTGGCCCCGGTGAAGTTGCCGAAAAAAGACAAATTTTCGGCATAAAAACCACGATGATTCCTCTCCATTTCAATTGAAGTTCTGACCGTAACAACTCATGGGCTTCTGTGAGATTACACTACCTGTTATCGTCTCTGTGATAACAGCGTTTCTGCAGGGTGTTCCATTTTGTGTTCCTATCTGTCCCGTCAAGCGGCAGTAAGCGGTTCGTGCGTTGAGCTGGGCCAAGCACGTCAGTCATAGCACACCCCTTCTTCTAATGGTTAACTTCTTCTTTTACTGTCAATCGTCTATTTACATTGCGAGTGCGAGAAGGCCGGTAGCGGGCGATTACACACGGGGCAGCGCAAAGAGCGGGCAGAGGACACGACTGTGTAGTTTTAAAGAGATGCCCATCTCTGTGCAGATAAGCCGGCTAACCGGTGTTACAAGAAACGGTAAAGGGATGAATGGCCGTGTCTGGAGTAAAGGAAACTTGAGTTGCTTGTAAAATCGTCGAATTACCCTTTCGTCATCATCGAACGTCGGTACCACCAACCTGAACGAGGGGGGTGTGCGTGGCGGGAAAGACGGAAAAATCTTTGGATGCGAATGTTGTTTTGCGGCTGACACAGTCAGTTTCGCTCGAGGGCAGGGCGAATTTCCTCGGATACATTGTTACTTGTCATCGGTGGTGAGTGAAATTACATACAAAGGTATTGCAATTAGCGCGTGTGTTATTGAAAAATGAGTGGAAAAGAGAGATGTGGATGACCTGAGGAATACTACGCTGATGACTCAGTTTGGTGAACGTTGTTCCACTTTAAATTTGAGGATCAGTACTGAGTATCAAAGGTGGTACTAACTGATGCGCGTGTGGTGGAACAACCTGGCATCACTTCGTAGAATATTAGCCTTCGATTTTGTCTGCGCGTAGGCCGATTCTGCAAGAATACACAATTCAACACAAGGTTTTTTTTATCAAGAAATTCTGTTATTTATTGACAGGTAAACAGACTTAGTCAATGGATCGATGATATAGAAGGTCTCGTAGTTAACTGAGACAACGTCTGGTGTCTGATCACCACAGTACGAACCGTAAGGATATTGAGAGTTTCCTAGAATGGATATGCTTTCTCAGGATTTTACTAGATATGGTAGATACTTTTCTATGGACCCATCTAAAGACAGTACTGTGGCCATCGTCCTAATAGACTTCCATTTGTTTATATTCTTTATTTATGTTAATTTATGCTGCCAGAGACATTTTTTCATAAACGTTTTTGCTTGTTCTTCGTACGAGTGCAAGGCGTCTGTTTTAAACTACCAAAAATTGACTTCATTGAAACGTGTTCAAAATGTTTTTATACAGTTGTTGAGGTGAAAATAACAACTTTACCGCTGTATTGAATTCGAAGAAAGTAGAATAAAGGTAAGTGACCCCCTCAAGCAATGCAGTCTATTTGAATTTGGCGCCATAATTTTATGCCTTTGGCCACGTAAAGAAGATCAGCCGGTTTTCGAACAGTGGCTGGGAAATCGGTCTCAAAGCATTTTTAATGTAGAGATGCTTTGAAAATTGTCAAAATACGCTCATTTAAACTGAAGTGAAAGATGGGTGAAGTCAGACTTGTCCAGACTATCGCGTGAGATAAGTTGCTTAAGGATAACCCAGACTGGTATATAAATTCACCGAGGTGCTATCAAGACCAATCGGGTAAACCTTCCTCATCGGCAAATTAAAAGGAACGTTTCTCCGTCTTTCTGCGTAGTCGATAAATGTTCCAAAGGCGATATATGAATCATCGTTCAACAAAGGTTGAACCCTTTGTATTCAAACTGCGAAAAGAACTAACGGACGTCTAGGCGTCATCAGAGAAGGTGCAGTTATTGACGTTAGTTTTATAGCCTGCGTAAAAACCTAGAATTTCACAATGACTGCGGCTATTAGAGCGCTTCGTTCGTGGGAGATTATACTGTTCTGTGTATTTACATCTGTGATATGTTGGCTGGCTAACCTCGTTAACCGACACGTACCGATCCCGTACATGGACGAAATCTTCCATGTTCCTCAGGCCCAACGCTATTGCCGTAACGATTTCTCCTATTGGGATCCGAAATTGACGACACCACCAGGACTATACTTCTCCAGTCTGCTGTTCAGCCTAATTACTGAGTGCTCAATCGACGTCCTGCGTGCGACAAACATCTTGTTCTGTTTAGCCAACGTGTACATGATGCATCACATCCGTAAACATCTCCAGAAAGACTCTACCTTGATGTCCTCAGTGTCAAGTGTGCTCCTGCCTGTGAATTTCTTCTTTACTTTCCTGTACTACACTGATCCGGGCTGTATCTTCTGCTTACTACTGGTGTACTTTTTCTACCTTAAAAGACGCCACAATCTGGCTGCAATCGCGGGCATGATTAGCCTATTTTTCCGTCAGACTTCAATAGTATGGGTATTTTTCGTAGCGTGCCTCACCCTAGATGAACTTCTGCAACGACATCTAAAAAACCCGAGGTCCGCGTTAACGCAAAAACTTACAGGCTTCCTCGGTGACTCAATTAAAAACTGCGTATGTTATGCTCTCGTTGGGTTGACATTTGTCGTGTTTCTGCGAAAGAATGGTGGAATTACACTTGGAGATAAGCAGGCTCACGAAGCGGTGATTCACTTTACACAGATTGGCTATTTTTTCCTTTTCACATTGTTATTTGGTACGCCGTTTCTTCTTAATTTCGAAAATCTAATTCTATTCGTCGATTTCGTTACACGTCGACCTTTACAAATCCTCTTCGGCTCTTTGGTAATGTACGGTCTATTTGAAAATTTTCTTCACGTTCATCCATACCTTCTCTCCGACAATCGCCATTACACGTTCTATCTTTGGCGAAGATTTCTGTCAAAGGAGGCTGTGCGCCAGGGTTTGATTGTCGTTTACATCTTCGTTGGTTACTCCTTATATTCATGCGTTCGGCACATGAAGAGGTCGTGGATTGTGTTGTTCGCGCTCTGTACGTCAATCACAATTGTGCCCCAAAAGCTGCTCGAGTTTCGTTACTTCCTTTGGCCGTACATCCTCCTGCGGCTTCATTTCCGCGAGCAGAGACATCAAGTTTTGGCCGAACTCCTTTCATTTATAGCGATCAACTGTATGACGTTTTACATGTTTCTGTATGGCACCTTTATTTGGCAACACGACCCCGAACACATTCAGAGATTTATGTGGTAATATCCTGTAAACCTAGTCATATGGGAAGCGGTAATGTATAATAGAGCCTTTGCGTAAAGGGTTGGGCACAAACGCACGAAGTACAATTCTGTAAAAATGTATAATTAAATATTTTTGGCACCTTTAAACTAGCTGCAGTAAATAAAACCGTAAATAAATAAATAAAACCGTACTAATTATATGTACATCTTTGAATTATTTGATTTTAGGGTAATTTACGCTATTGCCAGTATGAAACTAATATAGATAAAGCGCTGTTGAAATGAATACTGTATTCTCGCACAAGGTTCGTATATGTAATGTATTTAAAGTTTTATTTAAAAAGTTTAATTTTATTAGTACCACCTAATCTGATGCGGTCACGGAATAAAACATCTTAGTTAGGGTTTATGGCGCCAAATACATAATATTCAAATATAAAATCGTTACATGTTGTGAATAGGACAACATATATTATAAATGATTTATTAGAGCAGAACTATACTTGCTTGTATTTATTACAATTTTTACCGCCGTTCTGGTTTTGTCTGTCGTATTTTTATACCTTATTAGAATAGTATTGTGAGCTAAAATAGTAGCTAAAATGATGACTGGATTTCTTTTATGTTGTTGCCAGGATGTTTTCTTTTTGCAGACGCGGTTCTTAGTTACGTGACATATTTGTTCTCATTTCTACAAGTCAGACCAATAGCCAAGGAAAGAAACAGTGAATAAGTAAGCAAACGTATCAACGCATTATTTTAAGACGAGCTTCGACAAAAACTTGTGAAATATTCTAGCAGTTTTGCCTAACGCTCTTATGGTTTTTTGTCTCTGATGGACTCTAAACATGTTTTTTTATACTAACGTCTTTTACATCACTAAAAAACCAGACGATGAAACTGAGATGTTGGGTTTGCAATACCGTCGATCATTAGGTCCAAGTTTAATCCCATAAGCAAAATAGGGATAAACGTTTTTCTTGAAAAGTGTACAGGTAACGCCAAAACGACAGAATGTACATATACATTTAAAAAACCCGCTTTGAATAATGAACGATGACGCGATGAAATACACGTTCCTATTTCACACTACAGTGTGGTTAATTGTAGGTATAACATTGAGGTCATAGTACATTAGCACTTCATTGAGAATTATGAGGTAAAAGTGGTAGCTATATTATTGATGCTTTCATTTAAAACATCCCTCGTTTGTCTGTAGAGGTAGTAGTCTACATACTGCGTAGGGCTCGAGTCCGAATTGGACTGCAAGTTATGACTAAATAATTTATCATTTTTAACTTTCAAGCTATGAAAAGTTGAATGTAGTTTTTTTTTTTCAAATAATAAACAGTGTATCGTGCTGGTTACTGCGATTTAAATAACGAATAGCGTGATAACTAGCTGTTGATTCTTAGTTATTATTAGAATTTCGCATAGAGAAGGAGTCTCACCGAGTTACAAGAATAATCATCGTAACACTAGCTATCGCTTTAGCTCAGCTTTGACTGAGACAGACCCCTTACAGTTCGCTCGTGACAACAATTTGTTGACGCTTTTATGAGTATCCTCCTCGACTTCATTTTTGCGTGAGTAACTAAAACCAACCGAACTTAGCCTGGGGCGATTACTTAATGAAGATATCTAATAACCAGCCAAGATTGTCACTGCTATGATCTTGTTTGTAATACATTATTGAATGCATTAGATGTCTGTATTATGTTCTTTCAATTCACTGGTCTCTAATAATAATAATATAAAGATATAATTCTTATAAAGCAAAATGAATTAACCCAAGGTCACGTCACCGAGAGTCCGTATATTTGAGTCTCAATAAAACATTTATTAATACGGATAGGTGACACCGAGATACAAGGTCCATAGCGTTCTATCCAAATTCAAATTTCTCTCTGTAGCAGAATACGCTATTAAGTTTTTTCGAAGATATCATTAGATAGTGCTCATTTGAACAGTTTCATTTAAGTCTCTCTTTGCAATAGAGTTTCGGTAGTCTAACGTGGCTAAATTTACATTTCAAACAATTGTAACCCCCCTGCAAATCCGAACAGTCATAATTACCGCTTATGGTTTTAACGATAGTATTACGTTTACTATCGCATATCGTTTTTACTTTCTGAAACATATTAGTAAATATCGAAAAACATTTTTCATCGTCATACCTGTTTCAATAATGTTAGTTTATAAAATCCTAAAATCAATTTTTTTCTTTTAAATCAACATAAAGACTAAGAGGACTTATCAGAAGCTCCATTGCATATATTCTCTTTCCACGACTACGCCATCTAACTACATCGCCTACCGTATACACTGTGAAAGTAGTCGATAGACATATACTGGTGCTTGTGTAAATTTATGGTATCGTTTAGGCATAACGCGCTGCGAAGAGCCGCGCTTCGGCTGCCACTAAAGATTTAACAAGCATTAGATAAATAGTACGACAGAAAAACATTACTGCGTTTGTTACGGAGAAAATTAGCACACAAATATGTTTATCCATTCACATCGCCAGTGAAACGGCTTTATAGCTACATATAGCTGCCCTTTAAGAGTTGCTTATTGCCAACCAGGATCTAATAAAGATACTAGTAACTCTTTATTCACACGTTCAATCAAAATAGAATAATAACAGTAAATAAACACGTTCAACATTAACTCCGATACTCTCTTTGAACTATAAAAAGCATTATCATTTCGGATATTATGTATTACTGACTGATTTGTACTGACTAATAAACAGTTCACGCCAAAGTTAATCTAAAATTAGCCATTTTTGCTTGAGAAGAGGGCAAAGTTTAATCATTTAATTATTTTAATTGCCTTTTTATGTTTCGAGTTTTACGTTCCGTATCACCATTACCATGTGGCGCTCTTGAATAATGTGTTTTTTATAATCTTATCCTGAATAAACAACTTCAAGTGTGACATTTGTGGCACGGTATCACATGAACTTACCCAGCGATGTAATTTTAATCAGTGGCTCTGTAACCATATAAGGCACAACGTTTGAATTCTCCAGAAAAATTACATTTGTGGTACGGCACCACATGAACTTACCCAGCGATGTAATTTTACTCAGTGGCTCTGTAACCATACAAGGCACAACGTTTGAATTCTCCAGAAAAATGACATTTATGTACGGTAAAACCGAAAGTTCGGGCCGTAATATTTTTCAAACACACTTCTCAAATAAAGACGTGTATATTATTTCTTAAGTAGTTATATAGCCGGTTATACCCCGTGTAAACAAATAGTGTACCTTTAAAAATCAAACTTGGATTTATATTTTGTACAGTTATTCAAGGTATCTTCAAAAAATGTCTACATTGTTTAACCAATTTCTAATTGTTTTTTTCTTTTCAGCGTATTATTAGTAGGAAATAATGAATGGATCAAGATGATTGACAATACAGAAAGAGATGATGATGAGCAATACAGAAAACTTGTTTCATAATGTAATTTATAACGTAATCGAAGTATGAAAATATCTCGGAAGTATAAAAACAGTATAAAAAACAGATAACAAAAACAATATCGCAGAGAGATTCAGGCATATCTACTTGTGCGACTTACAATTAAGTGGACAAGAGGTAAGTTTCAAGCTAATAGGACAGCTAGGGATGACGCTTCATAAGACAAAAGGCGTCAACAAACTTCACCAGCCAAGAAAGTGTATTGTTAAGTTATAGTGAAACATTTTGAAAATCTGTATGAGCTCGGCATTAACAAATCATGCGTTCATTGTATTTTAAAACATTCTGAATTAATGAGTTTGATTCGAAAAATCGTACATGCAAGCAATGAAGGTGATACGAACTGAAGAAAACAGATGGGTTGGACGAAGGGGTTCCATAGAACCTTTTGCCCGTACCCCAACGCTGACATTAATGGACCTCTTTCTGTGGGGATATTTTCAACAAAAAGTCTATACCAGAAAATCCTAAAAAAATGTAGATCCTATTGCAATTTCAGTGTTAGTTATATGAAAATACAAGCTGGAGTGATAATTCTTCAAACTGTGTACACATTCTTTAGGGACACCTTTTTGAGAGATAACTTGATGCTTCGTTAAAATGCTAAACCATTATATTTTCTTTAAATGACTTGTCCTTTCAGGTCAACGCTCCCAGAAACGGGAGATGCGCTTGCTTGTTAAAGCGATTATATGCTGCTTTGTGTATCCTGCGCTTTCTGTTCAATACGCACGAAACAAAAACTATGGTAATAACTCGGCTGCTGTCATTGAGCTGCGTACAGCTTGGGGCCCGATGCTTTCTGACATTCCGGTGGATAGTCACAATATCGAAAACCAATTTTTTTTCTATAACACTTCAAAAACCTCAAGCTACACAGAGCTCTATAAATCCTAGTATAATACATCAATGGCCACAGATAATCAGAAGTCACTTGAAGTTTGTTCAAGTGACACCTCAAAGGCTGCGAGATTTGCAAGTTCCTATAATAGCTCCTATAAATTCTCTACTATTCGAAGGTACTTCAGTTTCTATGGTGGCTCATCCAAGGCCTCTGATGCTGCTTAATCCCCTGACACCTGCGATGCCTCCTCAATGGTACCATGTGCTTCAAAATCCTCGACAACCTATAATTATGCCCCAAAGCCTACAAATGTCTCGGTATTTTCCAGCTACTGTGACAGCACCACACATGCACGCACCCGATGCCCCGGTTCGTAAAGCAACATTTCGAATGTCTCGAGTGCTTCGGAATCATCAAACTCCCGTAGTTATGCCGTGGCGACCCCCAATACTTTGGCAACCTCGCGTTCCTCCAATAATGCTTCAAAGACCGCAAATGCCTATCTACCCTCCACGACCAACATTGGAGGCTCCAGCAAGGCCTCCACATCTTCGACGGACTCCGAACCGACCACGATATTCACCACCTCAGCCTCAGTTCCCGAAAAGGAACACATTTCAAAACCAAATCTATCCAGCAGTGCCTCAGATCACTAAAAGTCTTTTTCAGAAACCCGTCAGACATCAACATCTTTCGTCTGCGCCTGTAAATTCCGTATCTTCTAATTCGGTGTCATTTCCCCAGCAATCATTTTATTACAATTCTCTTCTTGATAAGCCAGCCCTACACAGTAGCGCTCAGATATACAGCCGTTCCAGATCCCACACATCGCTCATTTATCGACCCCTGGTAAAGAAGCTTGCGGCACAGCCTGTACTTGCGCATCCATCAGGAGCATATATATCAGCTAGCGTTGCCGGCTATACGAGACCAAAGATCAACATCGCCCCTCTAAACGACGAAATGCTAGGGGAGGCTCCTATAACAGACGTGCTCGAGCAAGAATATAATAACAATGAACAGCAAAAACATCTAAAAAACATGACTGTCCGAAAACCGCGGCCAGCCATAGTACAAAAACGTACATCATTTATCACAGCGGAAAACTGCGAGGGTAGTATGAGCTGTCGATCCTTGCATCATTGTGCCCTGCTTGGCGGACAGGCGACCCAGGTCGCGTGCGGACCTTTTCCCACCTTCCATTGCTGTGAGATTCACACATCAACGGAACTTGTCCACAATACATCTACGCGAATCATGAGCGACCCTGAGTGTGGACGGAATCGTGAGAAGACGAGCCGTATTGTAGGCGGCCACAATGCGGAGTTTGGCGAGCACCCATGGCAAGCGTTCATTCGCGTGGGGGAGGCACGATGCGGAGGTGCTCTGGTTAGCCGCCGACATGTCGTTACGGCCGCACACTGTATCAACGGCAAGACGATAAATATGGTCGAAGTGCTGCTGGGCGAACTTATCCTCGGTTCAGTGGTCGAGGAGTTACCCCACGAGAGACGTGGAGTTATTCATATGGCAGCGCATCCGAGCTACAAAGACCTAAATATCGATTCACATGATGTAGCTGTACTAGTTCTTGATCGACCTGTCAGGTATCAGTCTAACATCCAGCCAATTTGCCTACCAGAACCCGATGAGAACGTCACCGGTGCTATGGCAACGGTTTCTGGGTGGGGACGCGTCTTCCCGGACCAAGAGATGAAAGCTAATCATTTACAGGCCGTACAAGTGCCTGTTATTGATAATCTGTTATGCCGACGGTGGCTGAGGCGCCGGAATAAATATGCGGGCGTTTTTGCGGATCATGTTTGTGCGGGATATGAACAAGGTGGCAACGATTCATGTCGTGGAGACTCCGGAGGACCCTTGGTTTACAAGAAGAACGAACGGTGGTATCTCATTGGGCTGGTATCTGCAGGTTACAGCTGTAGCAAGCCAATGCAGCCCGGAATCTATCATCGAATTAGCAGCAGTTCGGAATGGATATCAAGATATGTGTTTGGGAAAAATGCCCTCAAACAAACGAATGACGCTCACGCTGCTTTATAGGTATCAGGAAATTACACGCAGCTATCCTAATGAAACATTTCGTCGATTATCAGCTGGGTAGAGGGTAGACGCACGAATTTAATAATAGTAATGTAGTCGAAGGCACGAAAAATTAGCTGAATATTGACTCATGAAGCGCACATTCGTGTTTTCAGGCGTAACCCTTGTATTCCCAATATTTACTGATCTTTATGTGTCATCTATTTATTATGATATTTATAGTATTTCTTATATACACGCACACCGACTTTTAACCGCTCCCTGCGTGTCGTTGATGGTTAAACGTATTCAAAGCTATATATGTATGTATATATATATAATATTCACATTTCATATTTGATGTATACCGCCATATGTTGTACCTATGATACAAATTGTTTTAGTCGGCAATGGATCTCCCGATACATTGGACCTGCTGTAATATGTGTATACATGATGCAGATGTTCGCAGTTGAACATATAAAAACTTAAATCAGAATATGCTAAACTGTAAATAACATGTACAGACGAGGTGTCAATATAAATGTCCTATTTATATAAAACATGATGGCATTCCCCTTGAGTACAATCGAATTTAAAAGAAACATAAGTTCGTATACGCGTAGCAAGAAAATCATGATAATAGATTAACTTCCTGTGACGTCCACTGCAACACTTACGCCATTCTTTTTTTTTGTAGTACTTGAGGCGATAAAGAAGTGCGCTAGCTGAAATAATTTGTATCAGTCCACTAAAATTCAAGTGGAGATGGTTGGTTTTTATACATTTTTTTTTTCAATTAACATACATCAATTATTCTGATATCCCTGTGTTCTATTTAGAGCATCTGAAGTGTAGCTGTTGTTAGACCTTTGAGAATTTTTTACTTCTCTGAACACGTGTTGCATAAAAATCAGAGCCATCCATTTTTCTATTTTCTTGATGTCTTCGTCCTCTCGTGCAGTTATGGGCGTATAAAATCAGACAAATACCTGACAGAAAAATGCATATTTTTCATAATTTAATGGAATAAGTGTGCCTGTATACTTTGCAGCGCGTAAAGTAATTGCATCTATTTAGGCAAACCTTCAACATGTAAATAGATACTTTTCCTGGCACTTTGAATCGGTCATATAAAATACGCTGTCCTAAAAAAGAAAAAAACAAACAAACCTAGTCATTATTTGTAAGGACATACCTATTTAATATAACCTGAGTTGTACCGTGAAAACTTCATTAGCCATCGACCTAAATCCTATGTTCCACTACGTTGATATAAGCAAGATATTATGCAAGATAATTTACGCTAATGATGTGCTAAACGTTTTCAATTAGGCTTGCCGGAGGCGCGGACGCCTACGTTATAATATCATATCCTAAAACAAATTTCTGTTTTACTCCCTACATCGGTAACTACATTTAATGGCCTTAGACAAACAACAGACTTTGTTGTTAACACAAGTAGTATAACGTTATTCAATTGCCAATGCCACGCCACTCAAAATGAAGAAAACGTTGAACACAATTTAGCTAAATGCAATTTCCTAATCAAAGGTTAATCTTAATCAAAAAGGTTATGTATGTAAAGCCAGGTAAGTTTGTCAATTAGATTCACGAAAAAAAAACTTTAGAACTGTTTTTTACCGACACACATCATTGAAATTTAATTCGTCCATGGGTACCACTTACAATATCCGAATGATTACCCACTGATATGGATGGGTGTTCACCAATTAAATGTACCATCTTATTCTGTTCTGACGCTATAATAAACCTCAACCCCGCAAGAACAAAAGGTCATCATCAGACTCTTAGCGTCGCAGCATCCATTCAATACGGCAGTTAAATATAGGGAAATCAAAATGAAGACAGAGAACGAGCAGCGAAATTCCGTGTTCTCTTTGCGCTGAACTTTCGCTGACCCTTCGCGCCGTGATTCAGTGACATAACATTGGTGAAGGATCGTTACCTTTGTCATAAATGGTTCGTTCGCTTATACCTTAAATGTCATTGGGTACGAGGTGGCCACACGTATACATATTCGTTTCTTTCACATGGACGTTGGCTGACTGGCGCTTCTCTCTGATTTCCTTTCGTTCATTCTCCTGCACTTCATTTTTGCCGGCGGCTCCAGACCGCGTGGCCCCTATCCAGCCTACGCCGTTGATGTTGTATTTGGCCCAGCGGCAATAAACGCAATGCGCTGAACAAACTAGCACAAAGCGCTATAAAGGATAAAAGAAACATGGCGAGAGAGAGAGAGAGAGAGAAAGGGACTATGGAAAAGTGTGAGGGGACTATACAAAAAAGAAGTAATGAAGATAAATGAACAGATAGAGAAGACCCAGACTAGAAAGGATCTACATTCGGTCATCATATTAGCATGTATAATAAATACGAAGAGACTCGTTTGCACGCATGTCAATGAGCCTACGCAGCCGGCATCAATGAATTCATTTCTGTAATGATTCTAACGCCCGAAGTCACGCCTGTCACATGGTGTAATGCAACTCGTGTAATAGATCCATGACGTCTTGCTAGTCTGCCGGCTGCAAACGTCTACGAGAGACACGGACGTCGCCCGTTTTCCGTCCGTATCTGTGAATGTGTTTTCCTTCGCGCTGCTTGTGTGTCGATGAAATCCTGCCGTTTATTTATCTGCTTGCATATCCATGTACATCCTATATAGCACATATTTCGTGGGTTATACTGCTATCGTTGCCGCCATGTAGCCGAACGTGGCAAACAGATTATATCATTTGTGTGCACGAAGCCGATCGGCACTGCTAGTCCCTCGCCCTGACTTCGGCAGCCATTGATCCGCTAGTCAAACCTCGTTGAGTGCCATTAATATGGCACTGTCGATGACAAACTACTACGTCACTGCTGTTGTAGTAAGCAACAACATGAATGTGCAGTAAATGCCGGCCACCAGTCAGCTGCTCCAGCTGATACCATTCGAACAGCATTGCAGAAGAGCAGAACTGTTTCGGCGGTCGGAGGAATCGCGCATTGGGAACAACAAGCGATGTCAACAGCAGCAACCAGCAGCAGACGCTCCAGCTGCCGCGGGTGCCGCTGTAGCTGACACTGCAGCCTCTCCAGTGGATGAGGGCCCTTCCCACGACGGCGGCGGCGGCGGCGCCGGAGACAGGGTTCCGATGTTGGCAGATGTGATTCCCATACCAGTATCGTAGTGCTTCTTAAGAGGCTCGCGGTGATGGTGCTTGTCATGGCTGTGGTGGCCATGGATTTTACCACTACGGTGCTGAAGTGAGCGAGCAAGGAAGATGTTCCATCTAAATGACAATAACAATAGCAGCAGCAGCAGGCGAAGTAGCAACAATAGTCATATGAACTCTGGCTAGAGAAGAGCAGGAGAGGAATAGAAAGGCTAAGGCGCAAGCCACACGTTTATCAATATCAAGTATTATTGGAGGGTGCCTGCGAGAGTGTCTAAAGCTGAGTATACACGTGTGCTTACTTGTGTACAGTGTGCGTGGAAAGTGATCTCGGAAGAGTAATCGAAGGATTCGAGAAACAAAAGCAGTGATAGCAGCGTCAATAACACTGAATTCGGTGGGAAATTAAAGAGATTAGACGTTTGAAAGAGCCCAAACAGGTAGTTAGCAATGAATTTTGGAGATAGTAGCTGGAAATTCGATATGAGCGACTAAATACGATACTTCATCAGTCATTAATGTGACGGGAACCAATTCTCATTAAGCTACAAAGCAGCTTGACTTACAGAGAGAGCCAGCAAAATTAAGAAGAGACGCTTCAAATGAGATCGCAAAAATAGAAGTACTATAGAAACATTTCAAAAATGAATTAAATTCAACTTCCATGGGGGACCAAAGAAGTTTTGCTTGTAAGGTGATTCGTGTCTCTTGAATTTCAAATGGATTAGTTCAACAGAATAATGGCTGAAATAATGCTATCCCTAATAAAACGTCTGTAGAATGGAGTGATTCCATTAGAACCGCATATATTGAAAGAATGCTTTCGCGTCTTTTCGAATGTTTGAGATATTAAATAGTGAAAGTGGACTATGTTGAATCTGCGTGGCGGGAAGTGCGGCAAATTCAATGGGAAAAGCGCTGGAATAACCCTAAGAATGTACGTACATCTTGTCAGCGATGCGTGTTTTTCAGTATAGCAGTGCTGCACGAATTAGTATGCTTTCATTATACCGCGATTAACAGTAATTCTAATAGCTTTTACCATTTTCAGCCGTTCTTCTGCTGAAAAAAAGTGTAAGCACCATTGCAAGTTAGACGTCAAACTGCAGTGTCAAGTTGCAGCATTGAACTTACACCAAAGTTTGAATCCTAAAAGCATGTACATACGCACATATGTATACACCATGCATCCGCTTTCATTTATAGTTAGATTTAGTCTGTTTCTTCAGAAACGTGCACTCTTTTGTGTACTTCCACCCAAATCCTTAAAATGTTCCATTAATATTTTTGGGGTCTATAAAATAAGGCCACAAACTCTGTTGTAATCTAATTTAGCTCATACAATGCGCCTGTGTGTCTAAATTATACACTACAATTATGGTTTGCTATTTGGTAGCACAACTCTAATGTGTCCAGTTTTTAATGTCATATTGCGATTACCTTTTTTTTGCTGTCATCGGCTACGAACGGCTTGGTTATTAATTTGTTATTTCTGTTCCCTTAATCTTCTTAATCCAGATACTACACATACGTTACAATGTGTTCCGTTCGGCATCCTGGCGCCCATCGACCGAACTAGGCTTGGGCTGTCTACTAAACTAATGTTCTCTTCTTCTCCGTGCGACAGCGGGGCGGAAACAATGTAATAAAGCCAAATAGCTGGCCTGCACAGCTCGGACGGTCAGTCAACTGCCGTTACCTGTGTTATCGTAACTCTAATAGTGTTTATATTGTTGTTGTTATTATTATTTAGCGCGGTGATTATGACGATCTGTTTTCGCGTGTCCTTTTTCTCGAGCTACTGTCGCTGGCTGTGATCAAATGGCGGTAGGCCGCGGCTATGCTTCAGGTAAGACATTTTCTATGCGGGACCGAGTTGGCGTCACCATCCCTCTTGGTGCTACAATTTCCCACATTAACAGTGGCTCGAATGGTAGTCGATAGTTTCTACCGCAGTTATAGAGGCGGCAGCGGCGGCCGCATCGGTAGCGGCAAATGGCTGGATTGCGGAGAAGCCGATTGGAGTAGAGGCAGATTTTGTTACATGAAAAACGCTTAGCTACCTGCGCCGCTGGATAACGGTTATTTGCCCGATGACATCGCGTCTCCGCCTATGGTACAGATGCTACTGCCGAGGCAGAACTCTACGATGAGGCTAAAAGCAGACTAGCGGGCGGGATTCCGCCGGGGTTAGATGTTGCTGTCGGGTGCTTTCGATTTTGTCTAAGATACGGTACAGCGTATGGAAATCATTGCGGGTAGATCGAAGTGGACTCCCCGCTGAGGAGCCCTGGTGGTCCCTAGTGGTCATGCTCTGCGAAATGAAGCTACTAACCGCCGCGGTGCTTGGATTCTCCATTGGTCTTCATTTGGCCTTTCAGTCCTTGGTCGTTAATCGTTGTTAATTAATGGCGCAAATCATCGAATCGTATAGATGTAACTGATTTATTATACAAGCTGCTTCAAGTCCTAGGTTTACATGCATTGTCCCATCTGCCGCACTGCCTGTGCAATGCATATTTAGACTAATTCACCTACCTTTTGCCTGTGGCGATAGCTTAATATGGCGGAAGCTTAACAAACATACAAATACAGCCCGATATATGAGTAATGTTTGGGACGGGTTCCGTGCAAGCCTTAAAGCTGCTGAAAATCAGCATAGGCCTTTTTTTCCAAATCGATTACGTTGGGGTACGGGAAACGTCTCGCACCAGTTGCAATAGCGACAGATGAATCGTTGTCACAGTCAAAGGACATCTTTGGACTTGGCTGCCGAACTATGACTGATAATGTTTTAAGCAAATATCCGTTATTGATTGTTGACAATGAGCAGGTTTAGTAGGATAAAGGTGATCGATATCATCGTGTAGGCATTTGCGATATTGTTGTTGTTCCTTTTCCAAAAGGTAAAGGCAGTTCACTTATTATCTTTGCCCCTCATCTGATTTTGACGCCGTCTCTCAGGTTTTCAGATGCGACCCACTGACCATTTAAACATTGGCCCTTAGTATTCAACATGTCGCTCGTATGAGAGAAGTGCGTCCCTGTCTACGTTCAAGCGGCATCAAAGCACGAATACTATTTGTTCGTTGGGGGATTAGTGAAAAATCAATTACTTTTATATATTTTCTAAGTCTGGCCCGAAATGATTTATGGTAACGCAGAGAATAAGTGATGAGTGATGCTCTTGATGAAGCGGTATAACGTAGTGATATATGATTTTAATGGTTGAATACGATGTACTGTAATATAACAGGCACGATTAGCTAGAAGCTATTCATTCGAAACTACTTCACTTGAGCTTCTCTAGAGAGAAATGATTGAAGTAGTTATGAGCGCATCTATCAAAAAAGGAAAATGGAGAAAATCTCAATCCCCTTTAGTTATGACTGGGCAGTCTACATTATTCTGAATAGCTGACATTTTCAAGATTACCACATCTCCTAGCATGTGGTCGAAAAACATACAGACGAAGTACACGCAAGGTATCCTCATTGAAAACCATTTAGTATTCACCCTTTACCAAGTGGCTCCCATCGAATCGATCCCTTACCGACTTGTCCCATACTGTCTGACAAAAGTCGAGCAGAACGACCTCGTCACCATCAGTGTAGACAAAATAAGATCATTTGAGAAGATCTATCTTAATCTTTAAAGTCAGTATAATGTAATAAAGTTACCGTATAAAAAGTTCTCTGTACAAGAATAACACAGCGGACAAAGGTGCATAGCTGATTTTACATGATCGACATTATTGTTTTACAGTGATATTAGATAATAGTTTGCAGTATAATCGACATAACAATTAAACACAGCAAAAATTACACTAGAGGAAATTACATTTCAGACGGACCTTATTTCCATTGAATGGACGATAGAGATCAGCATGAAGAAAATCAAAATTTCACTGTCTTCGTTGTCTTCGCGATCATTATGCAGCTGCGGTAAGCGGGCGGGCGAAAACGCCGAGCGTTATCAAGCCTTCAGCGCACAATCGCTATTGGTATGGCCGAAATTCGTTACGGCTCGTTCTTGTCCTGCTTGCTAACCGCCTGATAGACTGGGTTGACGTATTTTGTGCCTAGCAACTATATCGTGAGACCGCGCGTGCGGGGTACAAAACGTTCGAACATTAGTCGCAACTGCCAGAGGAAGCTCGGGCATCTATCCTCAGGGATAAAAAATCGATTTACAATTCACTATACTGAATGATGACACAACGATGAAGACATATGTATGCACGATGATAATAATAAATAGCGCATAGAAGCAAGAGGATACATGCATCGTTTATCGTCAACAAGTAGCCATATTGGTAATATCAATTATTGGCGTTAGAGCCGTCTTGGGTCGTCCACCATTTTGCCTCGACATCGGTAAAGTTGCCGCCTGGGCAACTGATTACAGTGCATTTCTTTTTAATGTTCCATTTCATCTGATTGTACAAGCAATGATCCATTTTTAAAACCGATTTGCTTCGGGCAATTGTGAAATGGTTGCAAGTGCGGCACCCGCTCCCTTGACTACAAACTCAGTTTCAATGAAATTTATCTATGCATCAAGCTTCATGAGTGACAAAGCTCTTCTCTAATTTAAACTGTTCTGATGACAGATTAACACAACAGGAGAAAAGAATTGCTTTCACTGCAGTAATGGATGGGAGAAGACTAAATATACTTCGACGAGCACAGACGTAACGCTCAAAAACGTTTAGACCTCTGTCCGCACCCGTGAGTCCATTGATGAAACTAAAAATATCCGACAAGTTTCTAAAATAGTGCTATAAAAATTATATAAAAAATCTTGCATGAATTTTACTGCGAACAGCGGAGATGACTGATGAACAAAAAAACGTTCTGTTTTGATGTCTTAAGCTATTCCATGATAAATAGATCATTCTCTAAGTAACTTTCTGAATTTCTCGCTGAGTAATGACTAACTTGAACGCTCTTTTGCAAAGTTACCTAGATACAGTACTACCTTTATGAAAATTTTTCGCTTAGATATGAGTGGTTTTATCTACCTACCTGGTGTACGAGAGCAGGGCGATACGAAGGCTTTTGTTTTAAATTAGGAGATATATTAGTTATTGTCCAATCTACCAGGCCGTACCCAGCTATCTAGCTAGAACGAATACAACAAGTTTGACCCAGTCTTATTTACGATGCCCTTTTATCGCACATCCTTCTTTTGTCTCACAACCTAGAATGAAAAAAAGAATAAACTAAATCGGGCGTTAATTTATTTTTTGTGCATATTTAATTCAAATTACATAATGAACACATGGCGCGGGGTTACTGGAGATATTTTGTACCATAAGTCATTTTATACTATATTCTATATAACGATAATTTTAATAGTAGTATCAGTTTTAACTAGATGTTTGTAATCCTTAATTCACCTTTATAGATTTGCTATTTTCGGAAATATACGACATAAATTAAATCAGGCTCGTCAGAAAGACCCGAAGCCGCTGTTTGCCGCATATTTTTTCTGATTTCAGTATATAGTGCTCGTTACCTACAAACTTCAAAGTTCCTTTTTATGTTTCTGCAAGAAATTTTCTACAGAGTGAAATGTGCGATCAGTTTTCGGTCGGACCTGAATTAAGGACCCACGGTAAATTAATCGATGTGAGATAATGAGCACTTATTTGCTCTGATTGCAGTGGAAGTTGTAGTTAAAATAGACTCAGTAGGACAGTAGAGTTTAAAGCTGATCAGAGTGGCTGCCGAAGAACATTGGCCTATGAAACCTAGATCGATTTTAGCTTACCTAGTCGAGACTCGCGCTAATTTCATTGCGAAGTTTTTCGCGAGCAGAGCTGGAAGATGTGTAGATGCCACCGTCACATGAAACATGTGGAAATACGTAGGATTTAAATCAATATCAACTAACATAAACCACTTAGCATGGAAAAGAATTAAGGATTCCATC